TCAAACTTAGGTCATTGTATCTGCAAAGTAAGCACTCATTACTTTACTGACTGAGCTATCTCCTAGCCCCTCACCTTAACCTTTTTAAAATTAGCATACAAGGTAATTGGTTTTACTCTGGCCTTTTTATACATACTTTATTGTGGCTCTTCCTTGCCCACTTTTCTCACTTACCAGCATTGGGTTACTCTCCTGCCCTCAATAGTACCTCTTCTGATTTCACATCGCATGCTTGCTATATCCACTTTCCTCATCTAAGATCTCTCTTACCCATCTCATTTCCCCTTTTTCCCTGATCCCTGTATATACATACACACATAAAATTTAAATATAGGATCCACTCGTAAGAGAAGATAGGTAGAAAAAAAAAGAGAGAGAGAGAAGATAGGTCTTTTTTTTTTCTTTGTCTAGATTATTTTGCTTAACATAAGAACTTCTCCTCCTTCCAACAGCTGCCATTTTCATGTCATGATTGTATTTTGCTTAATGACTGGGAAAATTAGAATTCCATCCATACATTGCAATATGTTGAAATTCTTCCTTATGTATTGATGAGCATATGAGCATGTGCAAATACCTTTTTGGGTTGACTTACAAGTCATTTTGGCATAATGTGGTCTAGTTAAATCACATGGTAATCCTATTTCTAATTTGTGTGCATGTGTATGCACACCTGTGTAGACTTGTGGAGGCCATGGAATGAGGCCAGGTGTCTTATTTGCTGTGGCTCTGAATTCAGGTTCTCATGTTTATTCAGCAAAGCACTTTATTCATTGAGCCATCTCCCAGACCATATTCTTAGTTGTTTTGAGAAACCTAGATGCTGATTTATAGTAGCAACACCAATTGATGCTCCTACCAGCAGTGAATGGGTGTTCCTCTTTTCCTACATCTCACCAGAATCTGCTGTCATTTGTTTCTTGATGCTAGACATTCTGACTTGGTGTTGTGGAATCTCAGCATAGTTTAGATCTGCATTTTCCTTATGGCTAAGAATGTTTAATATATTTTAAAATATTTATTGACCTTTTTCCCCCCTCTTCTGTCTTTTGAACACTGTCTACGCAGTTCATTAGCCTATTTAAAGATTGGAGGATATGTGTGTGTGTGTGTGTGTATGTGTGTGTGTGTGTGTGTGTGCGCGCGCGCACATGTGCTATGTGACAAAACTTTTCCTGGGAAGATGCAACATACATATCTACTCACCCTTAGATAGGAAGCCCATGACAAACCAAAGGAAAGATACCACCAAATTCCAGCTTGGTCAACAAATGAACTTTACTGGGCTACTTACAGGAATAGGGGTGAGGAGTTACTTAGAGGAGCAGAAATGATTCAATGACAGCTGCATCACAAAAGCTCATGGGTGATATGGGTGACAGATCACAATATCTGGGAACCTGTAGCATACTACAACGCCTACAAGAAGCTCAACGGGTAGGAGAGTGCCCTTTACAAGGGACTCTAAGACTCTAAAGGACTAAGACTCCTCCTGACAGCTCGCTGGCATTTCCAGGCAGCTGGTCTGGCCTGAGAGTCTTCTTTGTGACTCTGCTTTGCTTAGCCTAAGTGTGACTGCAGGTTTTATTGTTGACCTTGGCAGAGAAGGGCCTAGTGAATGTGGTCAGTTTTAGGGACTTCTTGAAGCTCTTCTGAGCTGTTTACCTTTCTGCTTAAGGAGCTTCCCTGCAGGATGGAGTGTTCCAATCTTAGAGTAAACTGTTACACAACAGTATGTGTATAAAGTCACATAAGATTGGGGGGACTTTCATAATTACATGTGCATTCTGGAACTGTCTGTCAACATAAGAGAAAGGAGACTTTAATAAACGTCAGAGGCATGCCAGTGCTTGTGTATTGAAAAGAGATGAATAGTGGGGTCTTGAGAAACAGCAAATATTGAGGTAACTCTGAATAGCTTTTAGAAGTTAGGATAGATGTACTGTTGTGGTTCCAGATACTTCTCGATATGTTCCTGACCAGTGAGGTAAGACAAGCGTGACAAGAAAAAAAATCACAGATTGAGTCTCTAAGAAAATCACAGAATGAGTCTCTAAATTTATTAAGTTTTGCCATATAAGTATGACCAACCAACTTATCTGCCATCCTTTATTACTCTGTAACCCCATCTAGCTTTGTTTGGCCAAAAGTTCCATGAAGTCAAGGATGTATTCCTGCCACCTACCCTGTCTCCTAACCTCCTAGGACCTAGTAGTTGACTGTAGTTCCTTGAGTGCTTGAAGACAGCAAGAAACTATAGAATAGTGGCACTGAGGGTAAAGAAGAGTCGGATGGTCATGATTCCAGCATGAACAGGTTAAGCAGAGACCAGAGGAGAAGAATGGATCTTGTGATTAAAATAACTCTTCTAAGAAGCTGCTTCCCGTTCCTGCTGTGGGAGATTGAACTGGGTAGCACTCTTCATCACTGAAGCTATATCCTCAGTCCCTTCTGAGAAGGTTCATCACCACAGGAAATGGTTACAATAGGAGAAAAGAAGTCTTGGCATAAAGAGTTTGTTTGCGCAGCAAAATCAGTGACTTATCAAAAAAACAAGTATTCCATTCAAGGGAGAAGTGCACTAGATTTGTGAGAGGCTGTGAAGGCATGGTAGGCTGGAGACCCACGCTCAGGTCCTTAGGCTTTGTAGCAACCTCTTTACCTACAGAAACACCTACACAAGCCTGCAAATACATGATTTTGAATAAACTGAACTTTTGTTTCAGTATTGGAGATTGAACCTGAGCCCCACACATTCTCTTTAGGCAAGTGGTCTACCACTGAGGTCAGAGGACTCCTTTTTGAGACTAAACTGTAACCTCTGCCTCATGAGTCTGAGAGGCCTCTGCCAGTGACTTCACGTTCTAAGAGTAAAGCTACCATGTAGTCTGTGGATGAAGGTTGGATTGCATTTCTGCAGCTGCTTGTGTGATGGACTCTAACATGACGGTGACAGTAGCTCCACTTTAGAACTTTGAAGGTGACCGGATGGTGCTGAGTCTGACTTCACAGTTTGCAACTACTACACCGCAAGGCCAAGTCAGGTAATGTGACTTTCTTCTTTCTCAGTTTTTAAGGAACATGCAAGGGAAAATGCAGCTTTTACTATACTCCTTGCCAAACGAAATGTCACAACCACAAACACTATTGTTACCTTGTGAATTCTCACCTCTGACATAGGGTATGTAAAGTGAAGCTAGTGTCTCATTCATTTGTCTTGCTGTCTGTGGTTTTGAGAAAGGCTGCTATGCAACCCATGATAAACTTGAATGCACTATGATGCTAAAATGACTTTGAACTCTAAATCCACCTATCTCTTCCTCCCAAGAGCTAGGATTACCATCCATGACACCCAACTTGAATCTTTGTCTTTAGCCCCATCTCTGAATCAGGGTGTGGCCATCAATGACTTGTTCCTAAATCTCATTGCAGTTTCACATTTACAGCATTAAAAAAGTGGCATTTTAGTGCAGTGTCTCCTCCCCCATTCTTAGTAATAGTCCTTTCCTATATATCCTGTACAGGCAAGCTCATGGAGTTGGACAATTGATTTAATTGTTCCTGAAGTCATCATGTCTTCCTTAATGGTGTCCTCTTGGATGACTCCAAGGGAGTCAAGAAGGTGGGAGCCTGCTCTACCCTGGCTGGCAGGATGTGAGAAATGGCTGTCAATGTAAATGCTTCTCCTGCTGCTCTTGGTTGTTTTACCAATCTGAGGGGGAAGATGACCCTGGGATTCTGACTGCTAGTATTTCAGAGCAACTGCTCCCTGGATCTAGGCAACTGCCCCCTGGATCTAGGCAACTGCCCCCTGGGTCTAGGCAACTGCCCCCTGGGTCTAGGCAACTGCCCCCTGGATCTAGGCAACTGCCCCCTGGATCTAGGCAACTGCTCCCTGGATCTAGGCAACTGCTCCCTGGATCTAGGCAACTGCCCCCTGGGTCTAGGCAACTGGGCAACTGCCCCCTGGATCTAGGCAACTGCCCCCTGGATCTAGGAAGGTTAGTTAAATAACTGATGGTGATTAGACACTACCACTGTGAGCCTGCTGGGATACCACTATCCAGTTTTGAAAAGGAGCTTGAAATATGAATACAAAAAGTTTATATTTTTATATTTGTAGGTAACTTATATAAGTTGAAAAATAAAATATATGTTGCCTGACCAGGATCTATACAGACTATTGACTTTGGATCTTCTGAAGTGGCTTAACTTGAGAAAAAGATGACCCCTTTAAAAAAAAAAAAAGTGGTTATTCACTTTACATCCCAACCATAACTCCCTCCCTCTTCTCCTCCCTGTCTCACCCTCCCCTAGTCTTTTCCTCTTCCCCTTCTCTTACTCCTTAGAAAAGGGGAGCCCCTCCCCCAACATACTGCAGCACATCAAGTCACAAGTCACATCAGGACTGAATACATCCTCTCCAGTTGTGGCCTGGCCAGGGAGGAGTGATCAGAAAGCAAGCAACAGAGTTCATGTCACTGACAGCCCCTGTTCTCTTACTGGAGTTCTGCATGAAGCCCATCAGCTACATCTGAGTAGGAGCCTATGACCAGTCATATAAGCACATACACACAAAGAGAATAGAGAACTAAGAACCTGTGTACTGATCTGGAAAAGTCAGAACCCCTAGTCATATCAGAACTTGTTCTGATGTCTACTCTATGACTCTATAAATGTCTTGCTGTGAGTGATCCACCCTTCATCCCAGACAGTAAATGTTGAGCGAGAGAAGTTATTCCCAGTGTGGCTTTGATGCTGGAGGGAAAGTAACAAAGCAGAGGAAGTCTGACAGCTGTGAGACTTGTCTTGTCTACTCGTAAAAGGAGGAAGAATATCAGTAAATCAGCCTGGCAAGTGCATGTCCTTTTGCTATGTAAAGGTGACTGCTAACTTTCATCTAGTGCAGGGAAAACTGTGATGAAGGGCTGCAGAGTGGTAATGTGGCCTATAAAGGGAAAGAGAACCTTGTTTTCATAGAAAGGCTCAATACTAACAAGTACATCAAAAACCATACTTTATTTTATGTATAGCAATACAATTTACATATTAAATAACACTATAGTAGAATGATTTGATATAGATTTAAACAGAAGGAAAAAGGGAAAAATTTCAGGTTATAAAACCCCTCCCCCCCACAGAACAAATCTTTAAAAAAAAAAATCACTTTTTCCAAAATGGGTCAATGTGACAAATGTATTCAGTGACTAGTCATGTCTAATTGCTATTGCACTAATGGTCAATGGAATTAAAAAGAAAGCCCGACTTTCACAATCACTGCCTCAAAGGAAGAACACAGATTCTTTTGGAATGCAAAGATGGTTTTCGCTACTTCAATACACAGAAGTTCACATATCCACCACAGAAAATTAAAAAAAAAAAAAACAACAAAAAACTATGACATAGTTGAAACTAGAAAAAAATTAGCTTTATATGAAAATATAAAATTCTATGATTATATACCATAGATACAAAGCTCCCAGAAGATGCTTACTCAAGCAACAAAATATTTACAGTTTTAATGATTTTAGCTATTTGAAAATGAACTGAAATGAGTCAACATGAAGGTGGGGTTCTTTAGAAACAATGGCTGCTTGCTAGTTTCAAATGTTCTAACAAAAAAGGAGTCACTACCCCAAATGTTGGAGAGTTACAATATTTTATAAAATTGACTGTCTCCTTTTCTGGAGATGTTTATTTCTTAAAACTCAAGATATTTTTCTTGAAATTAATTATCCTCTGTAGAAAATGCTTCCCTTTGCAAATATTTAACAAAAATACTAAAAACATTTTAACAGCTAAGACAAAAGTAGAGGCCAAATGTCATGATAATTTCGTATATTTTTACCATGCCTTCTTTCTAGAGATAAATAATGCCAATATTGTGTGTTAAATGGTAACTAAGGGGAAGTGCAAAGGGTTATGTTGAACAACTGCTCTAAAGAAAAAAAGCAGGCATTTCCCTTCATATAAAAATTTACTGGCACCACCTGAACAGAAAATTTAGAACATAGGAGTTGAAAAATGCATTTTCCAGTATAATTGCAAAAGCCTTAAGACAACTACATTTTGATTACTTTTTCTTATGATGAGTTTGGGTTTCTTTGTTATTTTATTTTATTTTTTGCTTAGAATTAGTAATGTGTGTCTTTGGTAAATTGGTATCTATATTTTAATTTTAAATATAGTATATATGCATTTAAGAAAAAGTCATGAGAAGGCAGTTGTGCTGTGTCGTTATAAAACAATTAAGGTTATTTACTAATTTCATTGTCACTCTGGGGGTGAAAACCACCAACCAGACCTCGAACACCAGAACCCTTCTTTCACCTCAAACACTATGACCTTCTTTGACCTTGCTGGACTCTATTCAAAACAGGCTCTCAAAACTCACATAAAGTTTAGGAAAATCCACCAACTACACTGTACTGTTCTTGAAACTCAGAAGGAAACATGTATATATATGTATATATATATATACATAAATGAAACATTAAAGATGGTATTACAGTTTGAGGTACAAGAAACTTTTCTGATGTGTCTGCTACGTTTCTGATATCCAGCCTGTCCACCTGATCTAATTACATAAAAATTCTGCTTTGTTTGGTTTGTGTATTTCATTTCCCTAGAGGTAAAGTCATAAAAGCAGACAGTGTATCTCATGAACTTGCACTTAACTTTAGCAATGGCTGTATCCTTCCCCTTGCCTGTAAATAGTTCTAACCTTATTATGTCCTTAAGCCATTTGCTTATGTCTTAAAGAAAACAGCATCTTTGGAACTCTGTGCCTCTGCAAAGATGCAAAATATTTTTGCCAATAGCAAAGAATAGTGTAGATAACATATTGTGGTGTACGTGAGGATGGAGGACAGCTGGCTAAAGGTATCTATCCTCAGTGAAGGGTGTGTGGACCACTTTGGCAAAATGGGCACAAAGTAACTGCTCTTTGTCCAGTAGGCAGAGATCTGTAGGCTCTGCCTCAAGCCTGCTGTAGACATGTAGGCTGCCCACGGAAAGCTTCTAACCTCCTTATGTTTCTGTCCTACTTACGTCTCTCCTTATTCCCTCCTGCTTCTCTCGTTCATGTAAGAGAGTCCCAGAACTGTGGAGAGTATGCAATTCCATAAATGGAACCCTGTGTAAACAGCACAGAAAGTAATACTTGCTATTTGTCTTCTAAACAATGGTACTTTTATTAAGAGAAAATTGAGACCATGAACTCCGACTTGAGTGTTAACTCAGAATGGCAGAGCCACCAAGCATCTAGCTGAAAAGCATTAGCTAATATCACATCAGTGTATAACAAAAAGAATCTGCTTAATTGATTAGGAAACCCTAGCTCTTACCAAGATCTGAAACTTTTCCCTTCATTATTCTCCTCAGCCTCTAAGAGCCGTCATGTTTCTTATGCTCAGTCCTTCTTTGTATTGTACAAGGTGACACCTCTGGTGGGCCTGGAGGGGTTGACAAATGTGCTTCGTGGCCATTTAGCACGGACACTTTCAGAGACTCTGCTTAGCTGGTCACCATTTCTGAAAGCCAGCCTCCCAGTTCTCTGTGTGTTCTCTCAGGTCACTGTATACAGACTATTTTTATGGGACTCTACTGGCCTTGCCCACGCATTGAAACCCTTGGACTCAGCCTGTGAGCCTCTCCTCAGCAGCTCTGGTTCTCCAGCACTTCTGTCACTAGTTCTAGACAAATAACTCAAGAACAAAGCCTCGTCCGCACCACAATGTTGCCCTGATAGTGACAGCAGCTGCAGGGCCTAATTATAAAGCTTACTGGTACAAAAAGTAAACCAAACCCTGCTCTTCATGGGCCCAATCTTGGGGGATGAATTCAAGTCTGACAGAAGTTGACCTTCAAAGGGAAACATGAAAAGGAAGATGCAGATCCTGGAAAAGAGCTTAGTGGTTTTTGTTTTGTTTTAAATAAACTCAAACGAAAGTTCTTAATGATGCCCCCAGTGTGTCTGTTATGTGCTATGGGCAGAAAGCAGCTCCAGAGGCTGGAGCCTCCTAAGGATTCCTAATGACTGTCTTTCACAGATGTGGTTTGCACGTGAACACCCACAACTCTCCTATTAAAACCTACTCTAAAATGGAGAAGCCATATTTTATTCAAGAACTGAATGCTTTCTGTAAGATCCATATTTCTTCTCCCAATAAGGCCCACTCATCTGTAGGAATTTAGTCCCAAATATATTTCTAATTCAATCTTAAGTAGAATATATAATTAGGAGATTTATTATGAAACATTTGGCAAAAAAAAAAAGAAAGAAAAAATGCTGTTTATAGGTAGTTTTTCTTAGGTTGCTAGAGGAGTAGTTAGTAGGGACTTTTCAAAGACTACACTTAAATTTAAATGCCTATTTTTTTTTTTCTGTTGTTGTTGCTACTGTGTGGTATGGTGCTATTTACCAAAAAGCTACAGTGGGTATTAACTAAAGGTGTCATAAGTAAATTATATAAAATAGAGCCATCCTGATTTTAAGGTGTAGCTACTTCAGAGAGTCAAAATAGAAATAACACACACTGTCCACATGGCTACTGTGAAATATGTAATACAGAATGATTCTTTATTTTGACACATTTCAACTGTGAATATAACTTGGTAACTAATAAAAGATGTCCATGTGAAGCAACTCTTAAGCCCTCTTTCCTTCTCAATGGATTCCTCAACCATTACAAATGGAGCTGACGTTAACAGACTGTCTTTGGGGCTCCCACGAACCTGCTGTCCTGCAAAAGGAAACATGCCCATCCTCTGCACTGAAACAGAAGGCAGAAAGTACTGAACAGTGCCTAAAAGACAGAGGCAGACTGAGAAAAGTACAGTGTTGCCTGCTAGGAAAATGCAATTCCCTTAGAATAATAATAAAACTGAGATTCACTGTCATAACAAAGACCTTCACTGCACGGAACTAAAAAGTAGCATGTATGTGGTCATGGAATGTCACATCAGGGTTCGCTGTAGTATTAGATTATAGGCAGTAACACTGATCAGATAGTGCAAACTAGGTAAAGTTGCGTTTCACTGTGTGAAATGAACAGGTGCAAATGCTCAGTAGGATACCATTAAGACATAAAATGGCAAAAAATAAATATCAAAACTTTTATCAGTGTAAAAAAGTAACTGGGTTATTGTATAACCTAGAGTCTGGCAAAAAAGGCCTCAAAAAAGTTCTGTCTTTACAAGTCTCAGAAGTTTACAAACAAACTGCCCGTTCAGGGGTCCAGTCACACAAGGGACTCCATGCTCTCAGCAGGGTCTGACTCCTCCGCAGTAAGTACAGCACCATTTTTGTCCCCTGTCATGGGACCATTTCCATTTTCTTTAGTGCTGACCAAGCTGAGCATTGCTTTGTAGACAAACTGGTATTGTTCCTGGAAGACGAGAGGAAAGGGTTAGGCATTTTATCTAAGATGGAAATATTGATCAAAATTATAATTCTAAAAACCACTCCTAAAGAGACAAGAATAGACGACATCTTATCTAAGAAACTTTAAAAGCAACCACTTGAACCCTTAATCACTGAGCTCTACACCTTCTTTGTACCTTCTGGCCTCTGTTGGCATGGAATCTGTTTCAGTATGGGTGACTCACTAAGATAAAGGAATATCCCCATTTTTTAACTGGACCACCCTAATATTAATCAGAGTTTTGTTTTGTTTCTTTAACTACAACATTACTGATATATTGGGATAAATAATGTGTTGGCAGGGGTTGTCTTGTGCATGGTAAGGTGTTTACCAGCAGCCTTGGCCTTATACGCTAAATGTAGAGAACCTCTAAACCATTTATAAAACAAGTAAGTCTCCAGATACTGGCAGATGTCTCCTGATCGACAACCCTAGTTAAGAACCTCAGGTCTAGAGTGCAAATCTGAGGACCATCTGATTTTGTGTAGGTTCGGCACATACGCAAACTACTTACAATGTCTGTGAATACTCCAGGTCGCATAAGATTGATCATTTTTGCCACCTGGAAGACATCCACAGCATTTTCATTCTCTAGCTGCTGGGACAAGGTGGTAAGGGCACATAGCATTCCTGCAGAAACTGCTCCATACCTGGGGAGGAGAAATGAAAGATGCGCTTCAGATTTATTAATGGACCGTATGTGGTAGAAGGAAAATGTCACCGCATACTTTCCTAGGAATTAACTAGGCTGGGTTGCTGTCTATTCCAGAAGACAGGATGAACTATAAGATATTAGACAGGGGGAGGGACTTAGAGGTTTACATAGAAGTGACATTTTTTTTAATGAATATGAAATATGCCAAACAGCTCCAATAGAAACTTACCTTGATATCTAATATGAAACAAAAGTTTCAAAAATAGACTTGGGAACATTACAGATTTGGGGTTGGATAAAATGTATTCCAAAGGTGAAAACAAAACAAAACAAAACAAAACAACCACCCAATGAGAACCTTAACTATTTCCTATTGGAGAAACAGAAAGTGCTACAGGGCCCTCATTTTTCAATGCTCTTAAGCATATAAAACGTTCATTTGGTTGGGCCCCTAGCCTTTTGCGATGTTTTTAGTTAACCACGGGCTACATTTACGATGCTCCTGGAATTTGACCATGCAGCTGGGAGCTCACTGCCAGTGACATCATAACACAGAAACATCCCAGTGCAGCACATCTGTTTATGGTGATGCTGGTTGAAACAGGCTCCTCTTTAACCGTCACTCACAGACGGTTAAAGCAGTCCAGTCATGCTGGAAAAGGTGGCCAGATTTACACTGTGACATCTGTACAACAGTAGTCTAACGGTGAGCTTCTAAGAATTTAGTATGAGTGTATGTGGCTCAAAATGGAGTCAGAACTTCTAAAACTAATTTCACATTACATTTTAAGTTTCAAAGATAATGCCATACATACAAGCCCATCCTCAAACTGAGTGTTACCTACCCATAATCTTCCCAGGTGGGATACTAATTTCTCCTCACTTTAAACTTTTGTGAAGTTGATGGGTGATTTCCTTGAGGACAAAGCAGGTCCTTAATATGTTTTCTGACCATCTGTATTCATTCTTCTGAGCTTCCCTCATTAACAAACTTTGGATACATCTGTTAGGTTTGTTTCTTTCAAACGGCTTTATAAATGATTTTATAGTGTTTCTAGTACATGTTTCAAGCATTTCTCTTTTTCTCTAGTTTTTATAAACATTGTTTATGGTCATTTTTCTTTCCCTAGAATTCAGTGCAGTTTAGTTGTAAATCAAGGTTATCTTTTATTTGGGGGAAGTTGTGTTTGAGAATGCTGTCTGTAGCCCAGTATTTTTAAAGATTTTCTTTTATACCTTCTAATTTTATTTTTTATGTTTCAAGTATAGGTTATAATAGCCTACTGCTGCTATATCCCCAAACCCATGTACTACAAATTTTCATTTTATATTAATCTCAAAATCCTTAGAATGTTCTGCTCCATTTTATCCCATTTGATATGAATTTTGGAACCAGACTATCAAGGAACAAAAGATGTTATTAGGACTTTTACTATATTGCATGAATATACAGATGAGTTTGAGGGAAGCCATGTCTTTTCAGTTTTTTAGTTTTCTGTTTCACAGTTGCCTTTTCTCCATTCATTCAGGTCACTTGGGCTTCAGTGTTTCGTTTAGGTCCTTGCCCTGTTTCAGGTCAGTTGCTAAGTTCACAGAATCTCTGTGTCTCTTCAGAATGGTCTCTGCTTTTGGTACTGTCTGTTTTCAGTTGATTTATAAATGTGAATTGTGTTGACTTACTGAACGTATAGACAGTCCTGAAGCACAACTCCTGAAACTCTAGTAATTTGTAGTTCTCCAGGTAGTAGGCCTCATTTTTGAAGGTTCTCTGGGCAATGGGCAGATAATGCGAGCCTTCACTGTTTACATTCAGTTTGCGCTCTATATTATCACTGTTATTGTTGCGCGGTGGTATCAGTGAGAGCTTTGGGGCTCAGGCCCTTGGCGGTCTCTCTCTTACCCACTTTTTGGTAATCACCACTGTGTGCTCTGTGTTTTCTTCTAGTCACATATACCCAGTGAACCTTCCCAATGAAGCTACCCTGCTGTTACCTTCACTTGATGTGGAAGAGGCATATTCAGGTGAAGTAACTGGCCAAAGAGTCTTACAGTGAGACTATGGCCAAATTTCAGCTTGCAAGTAGAAGTGGCTTAGAATAGAGATGGGTACATATCATGCAAACATCTATGCTTGCATATGCATACCTATGCTTGAGGTTTATTAGCACAAAGCTGTAGGTAAACAGTCTCAAACACTGACTTTAGTTCCTTCAAAGTGTATAATCTCTAGCGTTTATCACGGAGCATGCTCAGCATTCGCAGAAGTACTATAGCACAATGACCTCCCTGTAGCTATCATTCCACCACAAAACCACCAGCTCGTGGACAGTGTTCCTCCATCTGTTTCCTCCTCCACAAGTACTGAGGTAAAGCTCAGCCACTTCATTCGTAAGCAATCAACTTAATATAAGTAACTTTTAAAAAGGGAAGAACATAGAAAAACAAACTCAAAAAAACATTTGAGAATTATTTAAGTAAACATGTAAAAACGGAAGAACCCTTTCCACTCTCCTCCTTCCTCATTCTCCAGCGTCACTCCCATCCTCCTTCTTTCCCTACCTGGTAAGATAAACTGTCCCTGTGGAGCCCAGGCTGGCTTTGGAACTGGCCAGGAACCTTTGACCCTACTGCCCAGGCTCCAGGAAGCTGGAATGTAGAAGAAGGTCACTTCCCTGGTATCTTCTTTTAGGCCAGGCCTTGTTTATTGCTTACACATTTTTTTCTTTGCTCCTATTTCATTCTTTTTGCTTTTCACCTGTATTTTAGCAATTTTATGTGTTTTCCCCCTCTAGCTTTTTAAACTGAAAGCCAAATTTGTTTTTGAACTTCCATAAATGCAGCTTAGGATATGGCCTTTTAGGGGATGTACAGCTTGGTTCTGTTTGAAATTTAATGCTTTGGTCATTATTATTTTGCAGTTTCAATCTTGGTTACCCTCTTTAAGTCACAAATTATTCATAAATAATTTTACATGCTACAATTTCAATTTCCATTAATAGGATCTAGAATCTTATTTAACTGTGGATTTCTCATATTAATGTGTTGTGCCAAATAAGTGTGGCTTTGTATTCAGTTTGAAATGATTTATTTAAATTCATTTTTTGTCAGTTTATTTAAAATGAGCCATTTGTGTTCCCACAGAGTGTCTCTCACACAGTACCCCTTGAGCGCAGGAATGTCCGTGTCAGCTGAAGCCGTGCCCCTGATTGCAGATGTGTGTGCACCAACACTAGGCAAAGCTCAGCTACTCAGGTTCTCTCCAAATGCCACTTTTCAAATGTCTCTTGACTGTTTCACTTTGGGAACTGGATTCTTCATCATTTCTGAAACCTTAACTGCTGTTCTTTGGGTTTTATCTCTCTGTGCATAGCCTCTTAGACATGAGTTAGTTCTCTGTCAGCCAGCCCATTCCACCACGTCCTGTCTCTTTCAATTTTCATAGCAATATCTTTCATTTTTAGGTGTTAGTTTTGCTAAATGGCTCACAGTATCCGTTTGTAATCATTCATAAACTCTTACATTAGCTCTCTAAATTTATTGTTTTAATATCCACTATGATTGCTCTATTTTGATTCCCTATTTTTGTTTTAGTCCTTTCTCTTTGTGCTGTCTTTGTCAGATTCTAAGTTGTACTAGGTTGACTTTATTTTCATACTATCTTGAAAAAGTCATTTGTACTGACTTGGTTGCCAGAAGAAAACTATTTAACCTTTACTTAATTTGTTCCAGTGAAATAATTAAACTTAGGACTCCCCTCTTTATTTTCCTAGCTCTTCTTACAGATTAGCTTTAGTTAGTCAGACAGAACTGTGAAATGACTGCTGTCTGCTGTGGAGTGTGCTTTCATGTGGGAGTATGCTAGCCTTTTTGTGGGCTGCCTTTCCTACCACTGGCTCCATGGCTAGCATTTTAGTCACGAACAGGTGACACACATAACCGTAGCTATAATGGACTGGGCTGTCTCTAGTGTTGTGCAAGGACACCTGTGATGTTTATACATGAGCAAAGACCCTAATGTCACATTTTCCAGAAGTGCCTGAACAGCAAGGCTAAAACACACATAGAAACTATTGTCAAATGTATCCATACATCTAACATTAGAATACAAGAAGAAAGACAAGAGAACAAAGGCCATTCTTTTTCAGTGATCCTAGTAACGTACAGGCTACATAGCCTAAGAGTTGTATACAAATGCACTGACTTTGGAAGTTGGCTTGACATACTTTCTGTAGTTAAAAGTAATGACGGTTTAGGTTTTTTTTGTTTTTAAGCCAATGTACTTGGACTGTGTTGATTCTAAAATAGATGGAAGGTCTATGTCTGGTGGGCATAATATCTGTGGTTCTAAAAAATACAATTATTATACCTTCAGAACCTCTAAGATCACAGCTGGGGAAGTTGACATGGTACTGGAAGGTACTCTGTATTGGGTACCATCGAAAGAGGAAGGTAAAACCCAGCTACTCACCCTTTGGTCTACAGTAGTGACCTGCCTGTAAGATATGCTGGTGCAATAGTGGCATAAAGCCTGTGGGAGTGACCAACCAAACTCTGATTTGATGTAAGGTCTATTGCATGAGATGGAACCATACCCAACACTGCCTGGATGGCTAAGAACAGGAAGACTATCTAGGTCAGGGACCTAGGGGAAACCCAAATACTAATGACTCCTAAAGACATTCTGCTATACTCATAGACCGGTGACTTGCTCAGCCATCACGACAGAAGCTTCTTTATGCGGATGAGAACAAATACAGAGACCCAAAGGCAGACAATATGCAGACAGTGATAGACCTTGAAATAATCAGCCCTAATGCAGATGTCTCCATCCAGATCCCTCCCCCTCAGGGCTCAGGGAATCCTGCAGCAGAGGAAGCAGAAAGGGATGAAGGCAACCAAGGAAACAATGCCTTCTAAACACAACCTTGACTGAACAAGTGCAGCTGAACTCAAGAGACTGAGGCAGCAGAGGTCTGCACCAGGTGGGCTCTTAGAGCTGGGGGAAGTAGTTGACTCATGCTCCCACTCCTGATCCAGAAGCTAGAGCCAAGAGGTGACTACTTGCAAATGAAAAATTCGTTTTCTCCAAGGGAGTCTCACTGCAGAAACAAACCACTCTTAAGGATATGCCCCATGCCCAGCAATAGATAGCCAACAGAAAATGAACTAAACTGCATCTTTTGAGGTTCTTTCTCTTACAATACTGTGTCAGGACATTTCTTTTTTCTGTTTTGCATATAGTTCTTTTGTGTTTCTGTGAGAGTCCTATGTTTACAAATGTGTGTCTCTATGCCTACATGTGTTTCTCTTGCATTTTCTTGGGCTCTTTTTCTTCAGTTTGTTTTGTTCTATTGCAATTTGTTTTTATTTTATCATATCTTATTTAAATTTATTATTATTCCTTAGCTATCTACTTGTTTTTTTAAGGAGAGACAAAAAGAGGGTGGATCTGGATGACAAGGGAAGTGGGGAAGAACTTGGAGGAGATGAGGGAGAAGAAAACATGATCAGAATATAATTGTATGAAGACACTTTGTTTTCAATTTAAAAAAAAGAAAAAAGAAAAAGAAAGACCATAACTGGAAATGCTGTCCAGAGTTTCAAGGTTGTCACCATGAAGAAGGTAAATTTTTCTTTAAAAGTTGGCAGGGCAGGAAGGAAAGCAGAGAGCTACAGCCAAAATCTGCTGTTCTTCAGGGAGGAGTGACAATGCAAAATTAAAAATAATATTAGTTTGTAGTCCAGCATGTAGTCCAAGTGCTTGGGAGGCCAAGGAAAGAAGATTTCCACGTGCTCTGGCTATCCTGGGCTTATATATTGAGACCTGTTTCAAACAATAAGAACAAAACCCATACAAACCCACAAAACTCAAACCCCTGAAATCCAAAACCATGTTAAAGTGTGGGGAGTGAATGAGAAGAGAAACTAGGAAAGAACCAAAGTATGGCTGAGAAAGAGGGTGCAGGAGTGACTACTATAAACCCCAGAAGAAGTGAGGGTTGGGACGAGGTAGCTTTGAGTCTTAGGCATGGCAGTCTCCTGGGTCTCAGTGACTTCAGTGTCTGATGCTGCCATCTGGTCATTCTTGGTATCTCTTTTGCAGGAAGGTCTGTATTTTCAATTCACACTAGATCCCATAAATTGTGTGGTTGATTCCAGCTGACACAAAATATAAATCTATCCAGATTCTAAGGAACTTCCTTCCCTGTGCCTATTTCCCCAAACACAGAGTAAATGTCATAAAATTATTTTCTTGGTGACTCTAAGCAGTCATGACTTGTGGGTATCTTTGCAGCAGTTGAGGTAGAGACCAATTAATTGGCTTTATTACCAGACTTAGGTCTTTGCTCTCAAGACCAAATTATAATAACGGCTAAACTTAAAAAAAAAATAATGACTAAACTTTTACTTATGTAGGCAATTTAAGGTGTTAGGAATTAAAACTGAGAAACGGTCCTAACAGAAGTCCTAACTCCAGTCTTGAGTGGCGGCTTCATATCATGTCAGGTTAAAGAGATCTGGAGTATATCTGGAAATCTCTTTATACTCATGCCAGACACAGAGTGAACAAGGCAGATGGTCTCATTGTATGTAATATATGTTGTAATATATACATATGTATGTATACTTGCCATATATACATGCACACGTGCACACACACACATATTTAAAACCTTGATCTCCTGGAAAGTCCTTGGAGATAAAACCCACAGGGTTCTCAGAGCACACTTTGAGAATTATTAAATGAAACTGGCCTACTTACACAGGAAAATAGCTGTCATTATTTGAGTAAAGCTTTTATTCTACAAACATCTCAAAAGATTATGTGTCATGAGGACATGTTGGGTGGGAACAGGCTCACCTCAGAATAGAACAGATTTGAGCGGGTTTATATAGTATGCTGAGGATGCCATGTATTACTGCTAAGATGTGCCTGTACGCAAGGAAGAACCTGCTTTACTTTTTGGTGAAGAATAGAAGTGCAATATTTTCCCCTTCTAGAACATATACTCTAGGAACACTTGCAGCCTGGCAAAATTTGACCAATTAAAACACAACCACAATCATTTTGTACATGTATGTGCACACTAGAAATAACAAAGTATCAAAGATACAGAGAGAAGGAGGTGTTCCCTTTCCATGTCTGTATGACTCCAGTAAGAACAGCACCCAAATTTAACATACAAAATCAAATACATACTCATCATGAACAATAGTGGGGCCATCCCGGGTTAAGGCCTCTTCCTTGATGACGTTGATCAGCTCAAAGGTACTGCTTATGGGGGCATCTGGATTAGGCCATTTGGGACACTGAAAGTGCCGAACTTCCAGTACATAGTCATCCTGCAACCAACATGACAGAATCACAGGTCTCTCTATAATCCGTATGCCTATTATTAAATGCCTGATGCCTGCTACACAGAGAGCATTACCATAAAACAAACAAACAACAAAACCCATTCTCAGCAGTGTTAGGTTGCCCAAACTGCACAAGACTGACTTGTTATTAAAGCAAACCATGCCAGTGAATGGTAGGATCTTCTAAATTGGGCAAATGCAAAACAAAACACTTGTAAGGGACATTATGGCCTACTACTCTAACTTTGACTTGTAATAGAAAAGAGAATAAGGAAGGAGCTGAGGTATCATTTAAACTGAGGCTACATGGAGTAGCTCTTATTCTTCTCACAAAATGGTAGTTATTGTATGTGAAAATAGTGTTTATTAAAGTATTGTCTTCATAACACATCACAAGGCTTTGTTTCTGATATCAAAGCAAGCAGTATTTCTGTTATATTGAATAGTATCTCATACATTGTCTTTATCTTTATTTAAATGCAAGCTGAACAGAGACTGTTACAGTTCACCTTACCCAGCTGAAAAAAGCAAATATTTGAAGGAAGGAAAAAATGGAATGCATATATTTAAAATTAAGTCTTATTCAAACAGCTGAGCCTATCTCGAAGGTAGTGAAATCACTTTATTATTTCTTAAGAGGATGATAAGGGCCCAGATCGGCAGTTGTGGAGGGACCGTAGTTTGAATTACCTGTGTAGCTTCAAGGATAAAGTCGTGGATGACAATCTGCTCTTCATTGGAGAGGCACAGCCTGTCTTTGCTGATAAGGGTGACAGTAAAGGCCTCACAGTTCATGGATTCTTCTCGACTTGGCCAGTACACAAACTCATCTTCTGCCTTTGGGAACCAAGAAAACAAATCATTTTACAGTGTAATCAAATCTTTGTTTTTCAGTTTTCTTGCAAACTGACTCTTCATGTTTGCATCTCCCAAGCCACTCAAGTTACACTGCAACTTGATTTTATAGAATCATTAACATCCCATCCAGTCATTTTCAATGTTATCGTAGTGTATTATAAAGTGTACTCTGATAACCCTTTCATAGCACTTCTCTCTTGTCATAACAACCCAAGCTGCTTCTCTATAGAGGAGGCATCACCCCTAGTTGACGAGTCTGCTGAGTTGTAAGAGAACCAGAGATCAACTGTCATTTACTTTTGTGATTTTTACAGCTGCTTTACTTTACACTTGATTAGTAAATGCAGGATATTTTAAAAATAAATTTTATTGTGTAGTTTTGATGAATAATGCATGATATAAGTAGTAAACTTTACTACAGTCAACTTAATGGACGTTCTTACTTTATATATGTATATTTACTTTTGCGGCAACAGCTATAATATCAGTTACCACCAATGCTAAGTTCGGTTCAATGTCATTACTTGTAGTTCTCAGATGGTGCACGATCTCTCCATTTATTCTACATATGCACCTGTGCTTTGGGCCTTTGGCCTGCTCCTCACTCCCAGTTACCGTGTGTTCACTATCATTGAGCTGGTTTTTCTTAGGGGTTACAGAATGTTCTCTTCCTGTGCATGGCTTATTTAACTCGGTGCAGTGTTCGCCAGGCTCAACCTGTGGCACAAACTAGATCCCATTCTTTCTTAGGGCCAGAAACTGTGGCACTCTACAGACACTTTGGTTGCTTCTGTATGCTGGCTGTTGTGTACAATGCTGTAGAGAACTCTGAAGCACAGAAATTTCGCACAGTGCTTGTCTTCTCTTCCGGGCTGTGTGTCCAACAGGGGGTTAGTGGTGGTTTATATTTCTTTAGAAACTTGAATACTGCTTTTCATATGGTTGTATTAGTCTATAGTCAAATGAACAGTGAGTTGTTTTTCTTTTTTCTTTTTTTTAAAAAAGGGTGTTGCTATGTCACCCTTAAGTGTACTGTAGACTACACTGGCCTCTGACTTGCATTCATTTTCCTACCTCTGACTTCCAAGTGCTGGGGTTACAGCCATGTTGCCTGACGCCAGCCAGAGTTCCCATTCATTCTTATCAACATTTGTCACGATTAAAGAAAAAATCAGCCATCCTAATTGTTAGAAGCTGCTATTTTATAAGATCATTTGTAATCACACTTGAGTACCTTTTCACATACCTGCTGATTTTTTGTTGTTGTTATTGTTATACTTGAAGACATATTTTTGCCCACTTTTTAGAGTTCTTTATAAAATCTGGATGATAGTCGCTAGATATGGGATTTGTACCATCTGTCTTGACAAACGAGGACATGCTCAGAGATGTCCATAAACTGTCTAAATCACACTGCTGATAAGGAGTAAAGGGCGGCACCTTTTGGAAAGAAGCTGGGCATACCTAAGCAAGCAGGCTATCAGTACAGGCACTTTGTAACAGTTACCCTGCTGGTGTCAGATTTCAAGGGTGACACAGAAGCCTTCAGCTCGGGAGCAGGCAAGCTTTACATGCTCGTCTATTTTAAGTTTAACTAGAATTCCAGGCTCGGTACTTGAATTCTATTCCTGAAAATTATGGCTTCCTAAGAAGAACTTAATGGTTGGAGGCTATAAGAAATATGATTATGATTAACACATTTCTTCTTCCTCCTTTTTCTAATGAGCTCAAATGAGAAACTCCCATTTGCCTGTATGTAGCATACAGATTTTTATGAACATTTTATTGAGAATGCCTATTTGCTATTGAGGAAGTCAGAAGTAATGTTCACAACAAAAAGGCTTTGTTTAAGCTTACACTGTCGCTTTAGAAATGAGCCAGCAGTCCAATGAGACTTATCACCCTTTCAAGTTTCAATATAGATTATTGCCAAGTACATTTTTATTTTTAAAGCTCAGCATAAGGGGAAGCAGATTAGCAATTGGGTTTAGTCTATACAAAAGAAGTCTGGAACTGTCTTGAGTTTTATTATGCTTTGTTCAAGGAAATGGAAGTATGACCCTGTAAACATATTCAGGATATATAGTTAGATGGACAGGACATCAGTAGACATTAATTTGCCTCGTATTCTATCTATCCCATGCTTCATATCTCTGAGCCTTTATTTCCATATTTAAAAAATGAGAACAATATAAGTCTATGTTCTCAAAAGATATTAAAGGAATAGTTGACGATCTAGTTAATTTAAAGAGATCAAATGCAGGAAAAATTCCTAAATACAGACATTGAATTAGGGAGTTAATACTCACCTTGAAACATTAAAATTCATCTTTTTTTTTTTCCCCTTTTGGAGGCAGAAGCTCACATAGCCCAGGGTGGGCTTTGAGCTTGCTACAAGGCCAATGATGATCTTGAACTCCTGATCCTCCTGCCTCTCCCTTCCCAAGTGCTGAGATCACAGACATATGTCACAACCAGTTTTATGTGGTAGTCGGGATGAATCCGAGGGCTTCATACGTGCAGGGCACTATCAACCGAACTACTTCATATCAAGTGCAACTTCTTATTTCTGCAGGCTTTCTGGTTGTGTGTGTGTGTGTGTGTGTGTGTGTGTGGACACATGTGTCCACTTACAGATACACTGTATATGTGAGGCAAGGCCATGCTCCTCCGTTTCTGTTAAATTGTGACAAATCCCTTAACAATGATAATATGGTTCTGAGAAGTAAAATAACTTATTTTTGTAGCTTCTTGACTGCTCTGCCCAATCTACCCCCATTACTGGCCACCATGAGAGATACCTATTGAAAACCTGAAATTCTTTAACTGACACCCTCCTGTCTAACCCTAGCAATTGTCAACTTTGGGTCCTCAAAGGAAACTTTACTACCTCTTTCTCCACCTCTCCCTTCTGCCCTGTAACTACCCCAGCCTGTAAGAGCAAGGCAGGCCTACCCTTACAGAGACCCCCTCTGCAGGTTTTCCTACCAAGTAAAGTCCCATAGCACCATAAGCTGCTTACCCCACTCTCCATCTTTCCTTCTCACTGACACATTTGTGTATTTATTATTATAATTTTTTCCTGGGGAGTAAGCGTGGACTTTGATTTCCTTTGATTTGATGATAACCTCAAACTTCTTGATCCTGCTTTTTCCACCTCCCAAGTTCTAGAGATTATCTAGATATACAGATATATTATCTAGACATAAAGGTATTAGTAATACTGTTTTCTGAATTAGAGACTAGTGACTTTTAAGTCAATTAAAAATTAGAATGCACAGTTAGAGCAGTTGGAAAAACATAACAAAATGGGGAGGAGATGAGGAAGGGGGCTACAGTTGGGATGTAAATTTAATAAATTATAAAAAATAAATTTAAAAAAAAAACCCACAACAAAACGATGGCAATGTTAGGCAGTCTTCCAGCCTGAAACCCTGCCATGCCATGTCCCACATCAGTGGTTGTATTCTGTTCGGAGAACATGCTTCTCCTTATTGGCTCTAAGTGTCTCCTAGGTTCCCCATACGAAAGCCTGGGAAGGATCCCAGTGGAGAGTAGCCTCTGTTAAGTGACAGTAACAAAATATTGACTCATCCAACAAATGAATGCTTCAACCCTAAGTGTCCCCCATTTCCACATGCCAATCAGAATGGAGCCCTGTTTCCAGCTAATTTGAACATCTACCTTCCAGTTTTCAGCTTAAGCTTCTCAACTTTGCTGCCACTCCATCATATAGAAGTGGCCTTACAATTCTGAAGCAGAAGCAACCTACAGCGCAGCAAAGAAGTTCCTACTCACTAGGCACACATCAAATCCTGTTGTGCAGACTGGGGGTTCAACCACAGGCTGTTCTTTCTTAATGAAAAAACTCATTAATCTGACATCCAGAAGGAGCTCCCCATTGTTCTCCTTGTTATTGTGCAGGCTGCATGTCTACAGAAAAACTTGATAAGACCCAGCTAATTCTGCAATGTACATACACATGCAATCTAGGTAGAAACATGTAACACTGTCTTTTTAAATGTATTTACCCATCTCCAATCTAAAATCTTTAACGAAGAAGGGCTGAGGGAGGGGAAACAACTACTAGCTTAACTCCCATCTGCAGGATAGATCTAAACAGCATCGCCTAGCTCTTCTTGGCTGTGGACCTGACTATGGAATGGGCAACATCATTCGTGACCCCTCCTGTGGTGTGGTGGGACAGGACACATAGTTAAATGGTTAAAAGTGTGGACTTTGGACAGACAGATGACTTAGGTACAAATCCAAGTTCATTTATTATTGTATGCTCTTGAACAAGGTCATTCCTTCAGTTTCTCCAGCTATTAAATAAGTTAGTCCATAGAAGGTAAATACAGATAACATATACCGTAAATGCAATAAGTTACTTATTTTCTGCAAGTGACATGCAGTGACTAACAAGGCAGTTTAGAATCATATTAAACAGTTGACTAAAAGGATATTTTTCAAAACCTTTAGCCAGGACAGCGTGGTTGAAGAGCAGTTTAAATAGCAGCGAGGAATCGTGTATGGAAGAGAGAGGGACAACACTGAAAACACCCTTTTTAGCTTACACAGGCACAATAGCCCCACGGCAAGGTAGTGCAGCAAATCATGTTGTAGCTTCACGGACTCATTAATATACAGCAGATGTGCCTCACTTACCAGGCTCTGGTTGTCTGGCAGCATGACAATGATCTGTGCATTATGATCCCAGATCATTCTCCAGAAATCTTTCGTAGTGTGTGGCAGAGGATGCTGGGTTATGATGAACTCATTGCTTCTGTAATAGCCCTGCATTTAGAGAGAGGGAGAATTAGTGACTGCGTATGTGTCATTGTACCAACTTCGTGAACGTGAGCACATTCATGAAGCGAGGCAGCATTATTTTTCGCTACCCTAAAAAAAAACCCCAAGAAACACATTTAGTACATTTGCTAATTTTTTTTACATTTTCTAATTTTAAGTTTTACTTCTGTGAACATTGGGCAGACAATTTTCTCTCCACATGCAATTCACTTCAAGTTACCCCTGCTGTTTTTACTTAACAGCAATTTCAACATTTGTTTAAAAGCTAGATGGATGAAATTAACAATAAAATTAATTCCTTAAGAAGCATTTTCCTTAATTTAGGTATTTTTGCATTCCCACCCTTTAGGCATCTTTTGTGAAAAGTTTCAAGACACAGAAATTTCTATACTTTTGACATTACGTGTTGAGAAATTACTTCAGAAATGGAATCAGTCACAGGGGTGGTATGTACTCCTTAATCATAAATACAGCCAATTAAGCTGAAAGGTGTTCAGGGTTGACTCTCACCATGATGTAAGAAGCATTAATGTAATCTGTTCCTTTCATTCCGGGCAGCGGTGCAAGTCCGACTCGAGCACGCTCAGCTATCATATGGAAAGAAACAATAACACCGCATTTGCCTTATTGTTCACAGGTGCCAGCATTCTTCCTGGGCTTTACCTGGTGAATGGTACGGCTCCCTGGCTCCTTTCTAAGACGTACATATTTAAACAAGCTAAGTGTTATCCGGTAAGGAGGCTATTAAATGAAATTTTCCCTGGGTACTCAGGACAGTGTAGAATAAAAATTTCACTGCAGGAAAGATCTTGCAGCTTATTGAGTACAAACATGGAAACGCGTTCCCGATAACCTGACCACGTTTATTATAGCTCTACAGTTACACCAATATACTGCACTTTGTTTTTCTCTCTTGACCCCTTAGTCCCTCATCTCCATGAAGTGCTTAGAGAGCAGTGACGCTTTTTAACAGAGATAGATCCTTCCAATGAGCAACAAATGTCTGTGCTTACAGGGTATACTAGTGCTCTCTGTCAAGTCCCGAGTTCTGTATACAGAGGTCACTACATATCAATAGGGCCCAGATCGAAATTGCTAGCGTAAACTTAATGATGCAGTTCCAATTCGTCTAATTAGTCCGGAATAATCAAAGACCCAAAGTCTTAGTGCCACAGGGGTTGTAGCTTTGTTTTTAAAGGTGAAATATTTGGCATTTTGAGGTGAATCAAAACTAGGTTTCATGTCAGACCGGTCACGTGACTGACTTGCTGGTGTTTAAACCCACCGCTTTATTTGCCTTAAACTGCCGTAGTTGGATTGACTATACCGTGCCTCCTTGGATGAGCACTGAGTCCCTGCACAATACACACAATCTAGTCTAAAGACCCCCCCAGCGAGCCGCTAAGTTAACGTCTTACCTGGCACCACAGAAGAGTTCCTGTTCTTCTCTTTGTTACACTCCTTCTGCGCACTGAAGCATTCCACGGATTTTGCATTGCACTGTGTGATAAGCTGAAAATGAGCACCATTTTTGGCATTATTCAAAGGTACCGTCACCAGTGCCCGCTTGAAACTGTGGCAGAAGATAAATCACCAGCCAAACTAAAGAACGCTCGTGCGTCAGCCATGGACCTTCTCTCAGTGGCCTACCTGTGTCTGCTGCCAGGTGCTAGGGGTCTGGAATGAAGATAATGTGCACGGGGCAGCTACTGAACATTGTATTTTTCTGGGGTACGATGCTGCCGCTGTGGGGGATTTTATTTATAATTCCTCAAGAGCATACAGGATCCATTCTACACTGCAATATTAATTTAATTAAGATCTAATCATAGCTCTTGGAGATAAAGACCTTGATGGACTCTGCACATTTCTGTTGATGGCAGCTTTTCATCTTACAGCCCACAGTGGGGCACCTCCTGTTTATGTAACTAGGCTGAGCCACCTTTTCAGTTGTTTTAATTTCTTTTTCAACTCTTTGACAGTTTCAAATATGTCTTTAAGATATTTTGTTCATTTTTACCCCCATTACCCTCTTATATTTCCTCCAAGTGCTGCTGAATCGTTTCTTCTTCTTAAAAAAATAAAATAAAATCCCTCGGTGCGTGTTCCACTGAGCTTATTTAGTGTTGCTTGCACAAATAAGTGTGAGTGGGAGGTCACTTCCTAAAGTATGGGCAACTTACCAGAGACTACACCACTGAATGTCAGTGTCGTGTGTGTTACAGGGTGGGAGCAGCTGAAAGAAGGGCAGGGATCCGCTCTGAATGAAATACGCAAGAATCATCTCTGCAGGTGCTTTGTTTCCACTGACCTGGGCTTTAAAGGTTATTTTCATTTTCGGCTTCTGCAAATGGCTAGTGCCTTAAAAGAGCCAATTACCTGTTATTTCTTTTCCCCAATTTTTGAAAAGACTGGTATGTTTGGTGAATTCTTTTAAAAGGATACATAAAGAAAGACAGATCGATCGAGAGTTAATGCTGGGGAGCGGCCTGTCTGTCTGTCTGTCATCTATGTATCTATTAGCATATATAATTAGATTTCTTGGGGACAAGAGTAGTCTTTATTCTTGTTTCATACACATAGCATATGGTAATTTCACATATCTTTTGTGCATGAAAAAAAATTATTTTATGGTATAGAAATTCCCTTTATGGTATCATTTGGCAATCAGAAAGGCTTGGATTCTGAAGCATTTTGGATTTCAGATAATTAATCTAGAGATGCTCCTACTATTCTTCAATTCCTTTTTTTTTTTTTTTTTTTTTGGCCTATAGGTAAACAGTTTTTCATCTCTGTCAAGATGGTGAGAATGAGATGAATTTGTTCACTTTTAGTTTTCATATTTAAACTTTCTCCAGACTGAAATCTTCATATATATCAGAAATGTAGAACACAGGAAAATTAAAAAAAAAAAAAATTCAATACTTAATGTTTTGTGACAACCCAGTTTTCACATTTAAAATAATTCTGTGCCATCTATTAATTACCTCAAGTGATTTTATAGTAGTTAGCCTGTTAAGAGGTGAACTAGAAATTTGAAGTTGGTGTTATAACTAAACTCAGTAAAATTAATTTGTTTTCTCTTTCATACCACTTGTCATAATTTGTTTGGATGTCTCATTTCTTCAGCTGAGATTCCAATGAGGGTTTCAGAGTCTGGAGCATGTTTTTCAGCGAAAGCTTGAACTGTGGTCCTTCCATTCCGATATGGAAGGAGGAGGTTACACAGAGAACACAGCGCAAAAGCTAGAACTGAACAGCTAGGAGAAAGGAAAGCATGCAGGCACTGGGAAGAGAGTGTTTGAGAGCTACAGCTAAGGGCTTCAGCGGTCTTTATCTTCAACAGCACACAAACCTTAGCTGCCACTACACTTTCTGTTCTGTGAAAGAAGTTAAGCTTGTCTCTAGCATGCAGTAACTCTTTTTAGTTTCCCAATTGCCTTCTGTACTGATTTTTCGAAGTATATTTTGACCACAATATGTACACAAACAGTCATAAACCTTTCCTTTCCTCTTTCTCTTTTTCTGACAGATTCTCACTCTGTAGCAGGCTAATCTTGAACTTGTGATCCTTCTGCCTAGGCCTGATCCCTGGGATTGCGGGCATGTGCTATCCCTCCTGGATCAAATAAAAGTATCGTTAATACTTTTGAGGAAAAAAACCCCATTATTTTGGGGGCTGAAAAACTGACTAAAGTCTTACGTCATTGTGGTCCTAGGATGTTGTCTAATTTCAGATAAAGTCATCAACAGCTCAGAGGGGGAAAAAGACAAACCTAAAGCACTGTGCCGTGCACACATGGAGAAAACTTCCCTCTATATTGCTACAGCTGCCTGAGTATCAGTATGGACCCATGGTCAAACCTTCCTTTCACATTACATTTAAGTAATCTGTTACATTACAGTCATCCATTTCAGCATCTACATGACTATAAACAAGACATAGACCCCGAGTGAGGGAATTTTCTGATCCCTTGTTTCTACTGAAGACACTACTCAGAGCGCTACCTTGAATTGCTTTTCCAGCCGCGTCTTTCCCCCTACTCCTGGTATGAGGATGCTGTTCACATAGCTGTGTAGCTGACTGGACGATACTTCAGTCTCCTTCCCGAGAATGGCTTCCAACAAGGCATCGTGGATGAAAATGTACTGCTCCTGAAAGGCAGGGTGTGTGGTGGACACTGAGGGGATCTGCCAGGGACAACCACCCTCTCATAAAGTTCCCTTTGGATCAAGACTGTTCTGAACAGGGACCTACAGTGAACTCCTCAAGCATTTGTAGCTGGACGGTAACTCCAGGGTTTACTTGCTGATCTGCCATAGTTTACTCTGGAGTAAAGTTTAGCTCTGTGTTTCTTCACCATGTTTAGACCAGGTGGTTAGGAAATAGCTCACAGCTACAAACACACACTCAATAAAGGGCTTAAGAACCAACCTTTCTCATGTTTGCCAGACAGCATGCTTAACTCCCTGGACCCAGAGCACAACTTGATACAACTGTCAGTGATTACTAAGTGTCTAGACATTAAGACAGAGGTGGAAAGCTGTGATCTAGAGAACAACGTGGCTCTCAGGTATCTCAAGTACAGACACATATATCCCTTCAAGTGCTGAGGAGATGAATCTTTCCCCTCATGGCTTTAACCTGTGCTGGGGTGTCCTCATGCTCCCTCCTTACCTCAGTCTGGACGAGGTAGTTACGCTGTGTCCTGATATGCTTCAGGAAGCCCAGGACATTAACTGTGCTTTTGTCTTTGATCTGTTGCAGCATGCTGTCGATTACAATGTAAGTGCCTGTCCTGCCCACACCAGCGCTGTAAGAGAGGAAGGTGCTCAGCTTATACTTTTAATCACTGACCCTCCAAAAATCACATGTAAATGCTCATGAACTGAAAAACAGCGCATTTCTAGACAGCCTACTGGAGAAATGGCATAGGCTATTCATGTAGGTAACCTGAATGCTTGCCACCATCTAGTCATGATGAAGGGCAAAGAAGATGCCTTTTTACTGCAAGATGACAAATGAGACACAGTTGCCTTCTTGGCTTTCCCTGCAGCTCACACCAAGGCACGAAGCTGGAGGTGTCTTGCAGCTGCCATTTTCAAAGCAGGTACAGTCAGCCTAGGCAGCTGTTCTTGCATGTGGTTCTCTGGCTTGCTTGTTGAATCGGAAAACTAGTCCTTTGACTAAAATCCCTTTTCTGTACAACTCTCCCAGCCTGCCTCTGGCTCATGCAACTAAGAAACAAACTAATGTTCTCAGAAGTAGCAAAATTCTACTGAAACTTAGGCAAGGAGGAGAATGGTATGTCCAGAACATTTGGCTTTTCAAAGTTATTTTCTTAATTCCTGTTTTAAAAGAGATCCAGGATCTGAAATCTCTAGTATTGAATGGCAAGCTTATTTTGGCAGAGTGACTCCAGGAGGTTCTTCATCTAGCACAACACCCAGGCTGTGTGACAGATTTATTTCTACTGGTGGTTGCAAAACGGATTAGCAAAAAGGTAGACTTCTCATAAGGCTTTAAATATAGGATGTATCTCAACTTCTACAAACGTCTTGTTTTATGAAAGAATATTATAAGAATAACCCTGCAGAAATCCTTAGAAAATGCTAAGCATTTATGCAACATTAGCTACAGAATAAATAACCTGAATACTAAAGAAGGAGGAAAGTCCTAAGTGGAACATAATAAAGACATTGAAACAACCATCTAAAGTTGTTTTACTTAGTTCAGAGAAAACATAATTTTTTCAAGTGTTGTTGTAAGAGGCAGCTTATGTATCACACAGAAGTTAGAAGTTAAAAGAACCTTTTATATATGCCATAAACTTTATTATTTAGAGGAAGCCCTCAGAAAATCCACTTAGGGAAAGATTAGAATCTCTGTCATGGAACTCTCTCCTTTATGTTCCCTGTGGTCCTAGGGATCTTACCGAGATCATTTCATAAAAAAAATTAAAACAGATTTGTTTCAGAGCTACAGATTTTTTTTTTCAGACAAAGTTCTCATGAGACAGAAGTGTTGCTATCTGTGTGCATAAGCTTGCTCAGCCCAGTCCTCAGAGAGGACTTGGGCCGTGGGACCACTGTCTGTACTTTGAGCGCAGGCCAAGTTCACAAGGCCCACACCGCCAGCAGCACCCCGCTCTGCACACTGGCCCTACCTGCAGTGCACCAGCACAGGACCCATTTCTGGCATCCGCGCTGCTGATGATCTTCTCACGAAGGTCAGGACTGGGAGAGCATACTCAGGGACTCCCATGTCAGGCCACTGTGTGTAGTGATACTGGATCACCGTCCTCTCATTCTGACGACCCTTGGGGTTTCCCTTCTGGCCCTGTAGAAACGTGTGAAAAGGCACCTTGAACCCTGAAGGTTAGTGTCCCAGTTAAGAACAGTACAAAGGTGTCTGAAAATATGACCTTGGAGCTCACTCTTTACACCTTACGCCACTGTTTTGGGCCTCAATTATTTCCTGTTTCTGACCAACGTTCATGTTGTCACATGGTAAGATTCACACCTCTCAGAAGAGAAGAAAGAGCTGTTCCAAGCAATCATTTAACAGCACCAGGGGGTTGGGCTTGGAACAACCTAAACCACTCCTGAATTCTGCCACAAGGCCTCCCATTCCTGACTTCCTCCCCAACTGCATGCTTTGCTTTCACCTGCCGTTTGTTTCTTCTCCATCACCCCACAGGACCAAGCCCAGCCAGGGTTCCTTACTGCCATTTATTCCACAAGAAGTGAGGGGAAGCCCGAAGCATGAAATAAACCTGCAGCTCTAGAGTCAAGGCCAAGTCTTACTCACTTACTGCTTTCTCTGACTCAAGCTATTACCAAAGAAGGGTCACCGGGCCTGTTTAAATACGTAAAGACGTCCTCTGAGCTCTCTAAATTTTAGAATGATTACTGATTAGCTTGAACCACCCGGAACCTGAACAGTGAAGAACACAAGATGCTGCTGACTTAAAACAGTACAGCCAGCGCCTAACAGAAGCATGTGGAGGGCAGACGGGTCACCTGGGGTTACAGGTGGGCTTCAGGGCTGAGGAGTGTGGCTTCTTCTACGGCAAAGAGGCTACCATTTGGCTCCAAAAAGACCAAATGGCACTGATTCACACAACTGCCAGACTCAGGGCTGTCATAATTGTACTTTCTCACTAAACTGCTATTTAGATCTCAAAATATTGCTGTGGTGACTCTTGTTTTGACAGGAGATTTTGGGGGGCTAAAAAAACTGAGATAACTTGAAAGCAGCATTTCCAGATCATGATTCTCGGGATACTACTAGTTTATAAAGAAAAAAATCAGATGACAAAATATGAACTCAAACCCTCAACACTTGTGTTCACTGTCCATTCCTAAAAGAGGGGACATTTTACTTCTCATTCTTACTGAATAGCAGAACATGAGTTTTAAATAACTGTCTTATAGGACCAGAAGTCCTTGGGATACTCTGTGAAACACTGCAGTGATGCTGTCAGAAAACTGGTATCAAAAACCAAAACCCACAAATAGTTGCCACTCTATTTGCTGTGTTCTCAGCTTAGATGACTTTTGAAGCCAGGTTTGTGAAGAGGAAAGAAGCCAGTCAGGCCACCTAACTGGTCTCATGCATTTTTGCCAATACCTTTCACACAGTGCACAGACACAGGGCAAAATGTTACATGGCTGGATAGTTCAGTGAGTAGAGCCCTGGGTTGGACTTCTAGCACTGTCTAAAGCGGGTATGGCAGTGCATGCTTGGAATTCAGCACTCAAGAGGTGCAGATGCTCAAAGGCCCAACTCGGCAATCTTAGTGACACAGCCAGCTACAGGCCAGTCTGACCTACACGGGACCTTGTCTCAAAAATGTTCTCAAAGCTTGAATCTGCCTTCATTGTGCACTCTTCTTCATACAGCTCACCCAGCATGCACACACCTTTTTCACTTTTGTATTTCTGACTGAAAAACGACGAACAGTATAGCAGGCATGTACTTTTGTGCTCTTCAGTGTGACAATAATGCTTCCATACTCCTCACTGTTCTCCATGGGCCAATACTGATCACATTTTCTCTGCAAAAGGAAAGAGTTGGGATTTTTCAAACAATAGTATGAAGACATAGATAATATTGTCTTTTTTTTTTTAAGTGAAAAAGAAATGTATGGGCTGAAATACTTAAAGGCTGGTATCAATTCTCAAGAAGTTCATGACTTAGGAGAAGTTTGCATAACATTCTGAGAAATGGGCTAGTATTTATGATCAACACACACACACACACACACACACACACACACACACACATAGAAGTTAAGAAAAAACCCTATATGTAATATGACTAGAATGTGTTACAAAATAATTTTAAGTACCATTTGGGCTGGTTTGCAGAACCCTGACTCAGAATCTCTGTGTTACAACTTAGGTCACCAACAGCAAAGTGGGGACGCCATAGACAGGGAACCTGAGGCAGTCTTCATTCCGGCCCTAATCAGCACCATGTCCACAAACTACAAAAATACAGTACATTCTACTACTCTCTTCATGATGGTCAGTGGGCTTAGCCACCACTTTCCTTATTTTCTTCCTTACAGCACACATTTCTCAGCTTCCCTGTCTTTTGCTGTCTGTCTCCTATTCTTGTACATTCTTTCTTCTTTTAGTCTGTTTCTCACCTCCAGTACGAGCACCTCTAAAAACGTCCATACTAGAGGCTGCATTCATCTGTCTCACTGCATGCCCTAACACACGTCTGTGTGATCATATTTAATTTGCACTTGTGAATCCTTGGCTTTTTCAGAGAACATGAGCAAATCCACATGGAGAGAACACATCCATTCTTTGCACCTGGTCAGGCTCCTTCCCAACAGCAAGCAGGTGCTTAATTCACATTCATTCACAAAACATTAAGATAGTAAGACAGGAGGTTCTTACCCTTCCCTTTTCCACAAGGTTTGTAATCATGATGATGATTCCTGTATTTTGTTCCCAGATCATCCTCCAGAAATCTTCAAATGTAGACTTTAAAGGTCCCTGGGTGGCAATGTAGGCTTTTGCTTTGTTGTAGCCCTTCAAAGATGAGGCAGCACAGGTGAGATGAAAGCAGCATCAGTTAGTAACTCAAGTACCTCCCTACTGAACAGGCTGCGTTCTCGGTGAGATTTCTGTGTGGTGCTAAAATGCACCCAACCACCCCGTCACAGTCTTCAATTTCCCAAAACAAGTTTAAGAGCATTTCTGACTTACATCGACATAGTTTGCGTTAATGTAGTCACTGTGCTTGGAGTCTTTTCCAGGTAAAGGTCTCAACTTCACTCTGCTGTGATCGTCTATAGAGAATAAAAGACAAAAACAGAATGTGTAATTAAAACAGCAACAACTGGCAGCATCCTTAACTCAAGGCGACCAGGTGCTGAGACACACAGCGACTCAGCACAGCTTCAAAGCCACCCCAACCCTGCAGAGCTATTGCTACCCCACAGAGGGGCCAAGGAGTACCGATCATGGCTTTTAATAGTTCTTCTAAAACTGCTAAAAATTTTGTAATCCTCCAAAATTTCATTTTCTATTTGAAAACCAAACTCAAAGGCCTTTGATTCCATCATCCCCTTCCTAGTATTACAAGGACAAAGAGAGTGAAAGAGAGAGAGAGAGAGAGAGAGAGAGAGAGAGAGAGAAAGAGAGAGAGAAGGAACACAAACATGAATAATAATGAATGAGGTTGGATGGGTAAGGATGTTTGGAATAATTGAGGGAGGGGAAAGAATATGATCAAAGCATATGTGAAAAAAAGCTTCAATAATGTTTTTATAAGGTAAGTTTCTATGAAGTCCATACCGTCCATCAGGTGTTTCACTGCTCTATAAAAACAGATTTCAGCCACCTCCCCAGAACCAAAGTGTTGGAAAGAACCAGAGCTTTTCCTTTATTGTGATTCTGGCACTTCAGGATCTGATATAACTGGCTTGTGACAATTCTTTGGTGTCCTTTGCTATATAAAGTCATGAACAAAGGGCAGATGAGCACAATAGATAATATGCTCAGAATGTGAGTGGCTACAAAAGCCAACTCTGAATCTGTAAAGCAGAGATGAAGTTCTTTCAACAAAATACTTCTAACTGGGCATGCTGGCACAATTTAATCCCACAACTCAAGGAGGCAGAAGCAGGTGGATCTTTGAGAGTTTGAGAGCAGCCTGGTCTCCATAGTTAGAAATAAGACCTGAGTGGAAAGCCATTCACCTTCGTATCCCCAAAGACAATGTTAAAATGGCAATGGTCTGAAGTTAATCTCACATTCAGTACATTCAGTACAAGCCTTGTTGGAATCCTGACTCTGTACTATGTAGTAAGAGTCTAGTTGGGGGCTACAATTAATATAAAAATGCAAAATGCTAAAAAATAAAAAACTGCAAAGGGCTAAAACAGCAAGAACAGGAGAATCTTAGTTTCCAATTTCAAACTTTGCCATGAAGCTGCCAGTAATTACGGCAGTACAGTGCTGGCAACAGAACTAACACAGACATCACCAGAAATAGAATCCAGGATCCAGGAGCAACCATTACCTTACAGTAAGAAGACTGTCAATAACAGTGCTCAGCCAGTAAAATGGGGAGAAATCTTTTTTTTTTTCTTTTTTGAGGTTTTATTTTTCTATTTAATTTTTTATATAATTTGTTCATTATATATCCCAATTGAAGCCCCCTCCCTCAACTCCTCCCAGTCTCACCCTCCCTCCCTCTTCCTGCATCCCCATCCCCTAGTCCACTGAAAGGGGGAATTCTCCTCCTCTGCCATCTGTCCATAGCTTATCAAGTCTCATCAGGCCTGCCTGAATCCTCTTCCTCATTGTAAGTAGATATTCACAAGCAACAGAATGAAGAATAACTCCTACTTCAGAACACATATAAAAATGTAATAAAAATGGATCAAAGATCTAACAGGAATGCTAACCTCACAAAACTTTAAAGACAAAAATACAAGAATAAACTTGGCATGGACTTCCTTTCCAAGATATAACTCTAAAAACACTCCCAACAATAAAAAACAGGTTAAGTTGGATATTGACAGAATTTTGAATATTTGTTTTAAAGGATGTCATTAAGAAATGGGTGCCAAAAGTTAATGCAAAAAATGAGAAGAATGTAGGGAATTCCACAATACATAAAGTGCAACAGTAAAGAGATAAAATTCACAAAAGACAAATTGGAAGGGTAAAAGATGCGAACCCTTTTTCCAAAGAAGACACACAAATGACCAATGAGCACATGAAAAAGTACTGAACCCCACTGAGCACTCACATAATTATGAGGAAAATGTGCATCAGTGGGTTCCCACTTCAGACCATCACTAAGACTCCTACCAAATACAAAATAGGATACATCTGTGAAAATGTGGAAACACTGGACCTCTTCTACGCTGCTGCTGAGGATGGAGCTCAGCACAGACACTTGGGAAAAAGCCTGTCTACCCTCCTAAATGTTGAACACAGGCTCATCCATAAGCCAGCAACTCCACTCCTATATATGCACCCGAGAAAGTAGAAAACAGATCTACATAAAGCCTCGTCTGTGAACATTTCTAGAAGAATTATTCATAATAGCCCCAAGTCGGATAAAACCCAAATATCTATCAAATGATGAACAGATAAGCAAAGTATCATATACCCATGCAATGGAGCACTGAAAGGAAATGAAGTAGTGCTGCACAGTACAACACGGATGAACTCTGGAAAGATGCTAAGTGGGAGAAGCTGGACACACAGGCTTTACACGTATGAGTCCATCCACAGGGACTTCCCAGGACATGCAAATCTGGACAGGTGGAAAGCAGTAACTAAATTCAAGAATGTGTGTGATTGGGTGGGGGAGGGGGAGCAGGGGGAGAGGAATGTCAGCTACCAGCCATGGGGTTTCTTGTTGGGTTGCTAGAAATACCTGAAAATTAGATTGTGGGGATGACAGCATCTCTGGATATACCCACTGAGCTGTACACTTTAATGGCATATAGCTTACTGCGTTAACATTTTATTGAAAAATCTTTATAGCACTGTTCAAGTTTTTAGTGGTCCAATTTAAAGTCCTTATATAAACTCCTTACTATAGTATGTGTTAACCATAAAATGGGTCCTTCCATCCTTCAAAGCATATGCCCATGTAGTTAGAAGCCATTTGGAGGCTGGGCTTATTTGATTCGGTTCTCCAAATTTATATTACAAAGACTTGCCTCTCACTGGTTAAAAGCAACGCCAGGATAGCCATGTTATATTCATACCTTGGCTCCCAAGACTGAATACAACATCACTTCAACAACAGTTTGTTTTAGTCATTTATTAAGCTCTCTGAGATCTGACAGCCCAATGAAAGACCACACGGGCAGAAAATGTCCCACACTGCACATACCTCGTGATGTATTAGCTTTCGAGTATCAGCCTTTCCTGGTACTCTGGTTCTGACTGTTTGGCTTTTTATGCAGCCTGGAGATTTAATTTTCCCCCAGCAGCAGTTATTTTAAACTTGTTACTCACATGCTAAAATGTTGATGTATCTGTTTTTGTGCTTGTTATCTGGATGATTGGAATGCTCTGCGGTGATGTTCATGTCGGCTGTACAGCGCTGGACTTCCTAAGGAAGAGAAACAAGGCTTTGGATACACTGGAGATTAAAAGGAACTGCCACCGCGCATCATGCAACATTCCATCAGCATAGGCTACATATATGAAAGCAGTTCTCTAAGACCACTGTAGCTGGAGAATTCTCATTGTCTAGTGACAGGGAAGCTATGGTGTGTCTTAGCACACACATGAATTTATCTGTTGGAGTAGGATGAAATAAACAGACCCACACTCATCTACAGTGCAGCGCATCACACAGAGAACAAACATTAATACCGTCATTTTACAGTGAGCCTGCGGTGTGTTAAGCAATACTGTAAAACAGTATGTCCTTTCATACTGCAAACAGCTTCGTATACTCATGCTGTGTATCTCAACTGCATCATGAGGTTATGTTGAGTCACTGGCCTAGACTGTCTAGGTCTGTCAAAGTACGATTTATGGTGTTGGTATTAGGATGAAAACACGTACGTAATGTGGCAGTTCTCATAATCTGACTTCATCTTTTGTGGTCTCACTCCTCCCCTTCTCTATACATATATAAATATACATACACACAAATACAGCTATTTAAGACCAGAGGCAGAGTATCTGCTCAGTGCTTAGCAGCGCCATTATTTACTCAAACTCAGTCAGATACGAGTATTGCTGTAATAACAGACATCTGAACAATGTGAATTAGGGGTGGTTTCATTAGTTACTAATTCATCACTCATCCACTTTAGTCCAGGTTTAGGCCTGGTACTGGGGTGGTCCAAAGCAGTATCTCCTTTGGAGTGCTGAGATACAAAAGAATCTTTTTAAAAATATCAGAGTCTATAAGGAAAAAAAAAAAAAAAGACTGTTAGCCAAATGTGATCAACAGAGAAGAGGCCTGGAAAAAAAATATGGGAACAAAAATAGAGGAACTGAGAGAGGCTTAAAATAGGACATGGCAATTCACTTGAGTCTTACAGGATGCACAGGAATTTCCAAGGAGGACAATACACCAGGATTTGCAATGTGCTTGTAGGCTGCATGGCCTCGTTTCAGTGAGAACCCCGCACGCTAAAAAGTCTGTTTGAAATGACAGTCATGTCTATCCCGACTGATTATCTGGACTGGCTCAGATATCGTTGGCCTTGATTAGTCTCTAGTTTTAGTCAGCTGAATTTTCATTAGAAAAACAGCGCAGCCCTGGATACAAACCTCATCTATTAGCCCAAAATGAGGTTGCTGAAAAGACAAATCCTTGTACCCTGAGTATCTCTGTACTCAGAGAAATCCTGAGCTAACTAATAAAGGAAGTCATTAGCAGGGTGTAACCAACCACTACTAAGAGTAGGAACGAAGTCACAAGATTATCAGGGGGATGTTTTACAGATGGCAGATGATTTTGTTCCATAAAGCAGCTGCGAATGTTGAGAGCAGAATGAACATGAAGAAGCTGCCTGTCTTCTAGAACCACAAAGTACTTCCCAGCAAGGAGCCCCTTCTCTACGGAGAACAACTCTATAGGAAAATGACAAGGTATAAAAATGATCTGTTCAAAGGAGTCATATTATTGAGTCTCCAATGGCTGGAAGCTTATATTCAATTTTTGCAGAACTGTAGCTCTTCCCGGCCTTCCCTGAAGAAAAGGCATCAATCTGATCCACTCTTTGGGAGAAAGTGTTTGATGATGATTATTGGCTGTTTTCTACCCCTACTAAGTGTGATAAATTTTGCTACCTTCTGCTTAATTCTAGTTTATGACCCAGTTTTGTAAACGGTAGTTTAATGGGGCATGAGCCTGCTTTTGGTTCTGTTCTCTAAAAAGAAAGAAAGAAAAAGTAAAAAAGGAATGAAGGAAGAAAGAAAGAGAAAGAGAGAAAGAAAGACAGAAAGAAAGACAGACAGACAGAAAGAAAGAAAGAAAGAAAGAAAGAAAGAAAGAAAGAAAGAAAGAAAGAAAGAAAGAAAGCAGGCCTGGGTACAAGATCATGAGTCTGCTAGTCTGCTATCTTGACACTGGCAAGAACATAGCAATGTTGATTATACTTGGGTTATTGGGACCTGCTTTTTGGAACTGCCTTAAAAGCACAGACCAGTTTAAGGCAACACATTTCACAAATGGATTTGCATCCTGAGTAGTATCAGTTCACTCTATACACAAGTCCCAGAGACAAGTCAACACCGCATTGCTGCTGGGTGAAAGCCATCATTTTTGGCAGGTGCCCTTTAAGACTGAGATGGTCTGATATTTCATACCGAGAGATTTTAGCCTTGAGTTCTTTAGTTTGAGATTCATTTTGTCTATTGATTTTTCTCTTTCCTCTCTTATATGGATCTGACTACCCCATCCATGGATTGAAGTTGCACCTCTACTACAGTAAAATGCAATTGATTAGGGTAGGGCTGCTTATATAAAGCAGTCATTCGAAGCAGAGGGCAGGAGTCTTATGGAAGAGTGGGGGGGGGGAGAGAAAGACCCAAAGGGGACAGGACCTCCAAAAGGAGAACAGCAGAGCTACCAAATCTGGGTCTAGGGGGGCTTGTGGAGACTGATATACCAACCAAGGACCATGCATAGAGAAGACCTAGGCCCCCTGCTGAGATGTAGCCAATAGCCAGCTCAGTCTCCCAGTCTCCATGTGCGCTCCCTAGTAAGGGGAGCAGAAGCTGTCTCTGACATGGACTCTGTTGCCCACTCCTTGGCCACTTCCTCCTGGTGGAGCGGCCTTCCCAGGCCACAGAAGAAGAGGGTGCAGGCAGTCCTGATGAGACTTGATAGGTTGGGGTCAGGTGGCAGGGGAGGCAGATGGAGGGAAGAGGGAGGAAGGGTGGGACTGGGAGGCAATGAGGGAAGGGGCTATGGTTGGGATGTAAAGTGAATAAATTGAAATTTTTTTAACTAAAAAATATAAAAACAGAAACACCTGGAAATTAAAAAAAAATAAAAAAGAGGACTAATCTACAGACAATGAAGTGCATTATTAGGGCATGGCTAGTCCAGAGCTATTACAATGTCTGTACTTTAGAAAGCCTTCTGCATTATTATTGCAGGGGCAGAGAAAAACCTTTCCAATATTTAAAAGACAAAATCAAGCCACTCTGGGAAGCCAGTGTCCACAAAGCCCAGTGAACAAGTCAGTTCTCACAGCTAGGAGAATGGAACCAGGAGACAGTAGCCTAAAACAAGAACCAATATGATTTCCACAGGCTGCAGAATCTTTGAGAGATATGTCGCCAGCCTTACAGCTTGTTCATAACTTAGGAGACAATATCTGTTGAGAGCTGGTCCTCAACAGAGGTCTACTAGGCTGTGCCTTCCCACTTCCACCATATGTATTTGGCCATTAACTCAGGCTTTCTTTCAATGCTGTGCTGTGCATGACTCCATTATGCAGGAACTTTTAGAGGCTTTTCAAATTCCTTTGCCAACCTTTCAAGGTCTTATCTTCTATCAGCTCCATATCTAATCTCAGAAAGCCTTAAACCTGTGTGCCTCAGGAAGGAAGCACTCCACTCCCATAATCTGAACCCATGGTCTTTGCTCCCAGTGGCTGCCCTTCCTACCATCCCACAGCTTTTTCAGGCACAAGTTCATAAACTTTAATGAAACTACCTAACCCCGTTTATAAAAGGCTCTACTTAAACAGGTAATTTTCTTTTTCCTTTTTCTAATGTATGTATTGTATTATACATAGTGAATTGAGGTCAGCTGGGGTTCCAAATGAGACCCTAAACAGGTATTTTTCTTGATAACAAGGATTTAAAACTCATTTCTCAGCCAAGTATTGTGGTGCCCATCGTTAGTCTCAGCACTAGGGAGGTAGAGGTAGGTAGATCTCTGAGTTTGAGGTCAGCCTGTTCTATAGAGTGTATTCTAGAACAGCCAAGGCTATCCAGAGAAACCCCGTCTCAAGAAAGCAAACTAAACCAAACAAGCAAAACACATTTCTTTAACGTTGAGGACCAAATGCACAGTCTGCCACGTGCTGCGCAGCTCTTCAGGGTCAGCTTCTGCCATCCTTCCATAGTCTTTGTGTAACACATCATCTCCCAGGGACTTTCCTGTTCTGCATGAGCAGCCAGCACTGAGGTCTCCATTCACAACACAAACAATGGAGCCACTGGTCCCTCAGCGCATGGGCTCAGGTGGACAAGGCTTTGTGCTCTTGAGGTAAGATGAACAACCAGCTCACATTTAGCTCAATAGTTAATTGGAATAGAGGTCATCTCCCAAAGGACTGTGTCAAGGGCCATGGACCTCTGGCCTTTTCTCTGTGCCCGGCTTTAAATTTCTGATTCCTCCAACCCCTGTGTATTAGTTTGTGGACCACCGGAGCCTTGTCCTTAATGTGCCAGCACTGTACTTTAGAAAGCCTTCTGCATTATGATTGTGAGGGCAGAGAAAGAACTTTCCAATATTTAAAAGACAAAATCAAGCCACTCTGGGAAGCCAGTGTCCACAAAGCCCAGTGAACAAGTCAGTTCTCACAGCTAGGAGAATGGAACCAGGAGACAGTAGCCTAAAACAAGAACCAATATGATTTCCACAAGCTGCAGAATCTTTGAGAGATATGTCGCCAGCCTTACAGCTTGTTCATAATTTATGGGACAAAGACAAAACCCTGGTTTTCAGCATCACCTCTGGCTGTTCCCATCCCCCTCAGCAACAGAATTCTTAAAATATGACAGATACTCACTCCATTTAAAAAATATGATGGGGCAAGGAGAACTGTCACTGAAATACTCAGTCAAAACTCCCAGGGCCTCTCCCTACTTCTTTAGAATCTCACACTGTATTAGAGCACTGGTTTTGTTTTACCCTATTTCTTTGTCATTTCTTCTCTGGTCTCCTCCCAGCACTAACAGATAAAACTCTTTAGGGCAAGGAATCTAAGTCATCTTTTTACCTCGCACACACACAAGGAATAGGTGGTCCTCTGTTATTTTATCTCGTCTTACTTGAGTGGTTTTCTCTAGAAGATCAGTGATTTGATTAACTCTGGGCTTCTGTTCAGATGTTAAGTAAGATTTCTGTAAGCCACATTTGGGACTAAGAAGGCTGAATAACAGAAAGACTATATACTCTCAGCTAATAGTACAAGGCCCAGATACATGACAGTCAAGGACAAACTTGTTTATTTTTCTTGATTCCAGCTCATTACAGGGCATTGCTTACGAGACTGGAAGGTATCGGGGTTAACCACATGGCTTGGAGTTTGACAGCACTGATCTCAACCCCTGCTGCTGCCATTTCAAAACTTGGCCACCGAATATCTTAGTTTTCTTCTGGATAAAGTTTCCACAACTTTAAAGTGAGGTCAGTGAGAAATGAGCCCAAGGAAAGGAGTGAAATGGTACAGTGTGCTGGGTTAGTGCTCCCGTGGTTAGTCCACACAGGTGGACGGAAAGCTGAGGGGAGCTGACTTCTCCCTGACAATAAGAGAGGGTTTATTTAAATAATTTCATTTTCTTTCTATTACATAAAATCTTCTTTCTCACCCTTCCTCACATGGCCAGCTACTACCTCTGTTTATAAAACAGCCTTACTTTCTCACATGGCTTGTTACTATCTTTCCCTTTTAGCAAGGTTACCAAATGGAATAATGCTTTTGTTTAAAAATACTTCAAAGTTTTGCTAAATTTTAAAGGTCACAGTATTTCAGTGAGTTCTTATTCTGTCTCATTCTCCCCTTTATGTCATTGCTATTTTTTTTTCAGAAGAATTCTTCTGATTTGAAGTGGCTTCAGCTTTTAGTTTTCCCAGGAGGGAAATGGTGACAGAAGCACAGTGGCTGCTCCTGCTCATCGTCCCCATCACACTCCCATTAACTACCAGCTCATCGTACCGATGCTAGGTGGCTAAACTGCTCACCCACAGTACTAATGTTTTTAGGAAGAAATAAGGCACAAATAAATGCCCAGGATTTGTTCACAGGCATGATTTTGATACAGCAAAGCCCATCTTTAAGTCAGATCAAGTATACAGAGGTGTAGCTGATTATTTTGAATAATTAAATGGTGTCAAAACCAGCTGTGATGAATAGCACTGGGGTCTCAAATCATAAATAATTGAGAAACCAGAGTTGCATTTGATCATCCTGATCAAATTCTGTTCTCTAGAGGATAAATGTTTGTCCTGAATACCATCAACATTGTTAAATGCCTCAATATTCTTGCTCAGTCATCCAGCCAATAGTCAATTGAACTAAATCACTTTAACACCACACACATTTGCTGTCCTCATGAATACAAACTGTTTGACTTAAGCCATGTTCTTTGTCATAGAATAGGCACCTTTTGGGGTCAGCACACAGTAGCAGCATCAAATGCTTGACAAGCTTTTGCTCATTCCACAAAACCTAAGTCCTTTCTCTCTACCACCTCTGCTATCACTCTTGTCAATAAAAACCTAAACCCAAAACAAACCAAAAAGTAAAACAACACAAACTAACAACAACAACAAAGATCCTTAGAGAAAGACTTAATTTAACTTCAGATTGCCAATATAATTGCCTTTCTGATGGCCGCTGGGGATTCCAAATTTGCATAGAGACAGGGGTTCTGGTCCCATCTTTCTCATTGTTCATGCAAGATAATTGCACCTCATAGCTCTATGTGTCCTTCATGGTCTCCCAGTGCTTACTTTATTTGAACCCTACAGCCAATTGTGTAAGAAGAGGTGGGCAAGAAAGGATCTTTACCATCCTCTCCATTACACAGTAGAAATGGAAAGAGAAACCCGCTCACCCTTACAGCTAGAAGACAGCTGAGCTGCCATGACAGTGTGCCCTGCTCCACACAGCCCCTGCTGCCAGAGACGCGCCTCAGTGAAGAAAAGGGCAGTCTGTTTAATAGCTCCTCATTGACGCCCTGTCACTGCTAAACTGGCATGGGACCCAGAGCTGGCAAAGCAGGAGGCGCCACTTTTCTACCTTGTTTCCTACACCCCAGCTCTTAAAATCAGAAGGCTGTGTTAACCCACATCTTCTCTCCAAGGCTTAATACTTACGGAAACAACAACAATCAATTAATAATTAACCCAGCACTTTCATAGATGTTTATTTTTTTTAACAACTTTATAACACGGGTGACATTAGCACCATTTTTTAAGGATGAGGAAACTGGGGATCAGAGATGAAGGATTGGCCCAAGGATTTATGAAGCTCACTTCTGGCAGAGCCAGCACTTCCTTCCGATGCCAAACCTCCTGTCTCTACTACACCATGTGCATTGCAGAACTGACATGGAATCCGGGAGCTGGGCACTGGGACTATTCTCCTATTTAGGATTAAGAACCCGGGACCCACCCTCACTAGCTGTCCTCTCCTTCGCCACTATGGCTGGTCTTCCAGAGATGTGTACATGCAGGACAAGCGAAACCAACTCCCTCTCTCGGCATCTTACTGAGAAAATGTTTAGGAAAACATCAGTGCAAAGAGAACGACATCTCCAGTTGGCAGAGTTATTGTTCCGATAGGCTAAGAATAAATGCAGTACATGCTTTCAAAAATTCTTGAGATAAAAATACACTTTCTAGAAATTAGATTTCAGTTTTGAAACATACCTCAAAATCTTCAGAGAACCCGTGCTGGTTATTAGAATAGAGCTCACCGATGTGTTTGCCAAACTGTTTGACAGGAATGGCTTCCATGTCATCTGGAGGAATAAAATAATACTCAGGGTCACACAGAATACACTCAGAAAACGACACTGAGAAAGAAATCCTACTGAAGACAAACATTGGCCAAAGATTATAAAACTGTATCAACTGAAATAAGTTTCTGAAGAAAGGACTTAGACTTCATTTCACAACCAGATTGTATTAGTACTCTATTGCTGACTAGCCAGGCTAAATAAGTTATTTCAAAAACCTATATGTAACTCTCTGCTCTTATTTGGAAGATAATTTACAGTTAAGGAACTACATCATACTCTTAATGTCTAGAGTGACCAAGGCTACTCATTTACCAAGAAATATTGCCACTTTTGGGGCTTTTAAACTTTTAATTATTACTCAACGGGTGAGCTTTGAACGCACAGCACCTACATTTTACTCCCAGTCTCGAAGTCTCCATAATCCTTTTCACTCGGATAGATGCCCTTGTACCAACTGTACAGAGCCACCTATCTTTAAGTGTTCAGAATTTTAGTTCAAGACAGCTGTGTCTACATGGTGCCAAATAATCAATTTGATGGAATTAACTGGACTGTGTGTGTGTGTGTGTGTGTGTGTGTGTGTGTGTGTGTGTTCAGGAAGACTCTGCACACCCAAGTTTATTTATTGTAGTGTTGTCACTTTGGAAGGGCATTTTCAGCTCAGGAACCTAATGCAAGTTTTGGGTTTATTTACAGAGATCCAGTCTGATCCTTGACTGTTTCTGCTAAACGGCCACACCCACCTCCTCACTGCCATGCGAACTCCTCCCCCTTCAGTCCTCCCCCGCAAATATTTCCTTTAAAAAATACTCGGCTGAATTTGAGATAAACAACAGACATGACATTTACTTTATTCAGAGTGAAAGATCTTTGGCAAACGCACAAACATCTAAACTGCCGCAGATGCTTTTCTTAGCGAAGGGTATGAAGATCTGTATGTGTAAATGAGGGCCTACTTTGGCAAGAATTTTATAGATCCAGGCCTGACAATCTGATTTCTCTTCATCTGGTGACAGTTAACATTGACTGTGGCATCCCTTCTCTACTTTCTTTTGAGAGCAAAGCTCTAGGGTGGCTTTTCGCATCTATTGACATTTTCAAACTTGAATCATTCTTCAGAGGAGAACAGCAACCCTTACACTTTGTTTAAGAAAGGTGATTTATATGTCTATACTGTAAGTTGCTCAGCATTGAGACGTTATTTCAATGGAATAGCAAGCACAGATTCTCTCTGTGTGAACAATTAATGTCCTAATCACTTTAATAGCAAACTTCATAAAAAAATTGCCAAGTTATTTACAAATATTTCAGGGTTAAATATGTTCATGAATATGCAATCATTCTGTATGCCCAAGGAATCTATAGCTTCCATGATGTCACCAGCATTAGCAAACTATGAAGAGCCAAAATGTTTGCCCAGAATATTTAGCAGAACGCTATTCAAGAAAAGTTTCCAAAATTATCTGATCATTTAAGATGTTTAGAAATGAATTCTGTAACAGTCATGTGACAAGGAAGGGCCCTCACACTAACTAAAAAAGGGACTAATATGCATAAAGTTGGGGAAATCTTAAAAAAAAATATCAGTGTCCAAGGATAAACACATCTTTGGACTTAAACAATGTAACAGTTCTCAAGGGCAGAGTGGCATAGTTAATGGTTGGGTGACAGCAACATTTTATTCCATGATCACTATTTGCAATTTCCAAACCTCAGAAATTTATGGCACAGGAATGAAGGACATTGAGCTTGGTTCAAAATGAGAAAAAAAAATTTTTTTTGTTACATTCGGATATTTTATGTCTTTTTAAGGTATCAAGATACAAAGGTAAAAACCGTAGCATTTGAAGGTCACAGCCCATAATAAGTCCTTAAAAGAAATGCTTTCAAGTTCATGGTAGACTCCTTGTGGCCAATTCTAATATCCTAGTCAATGTCACATTCCCAAAAATCAAACTGCCTGTTAGCCCCATGATGGGGTACAATAAAACTTCAGCAGCAGTCAGCAGTATGGTCACCATGGAAACATAAGATGCACTATTTCTTCCATTAGAGGCATGTTTTACTGCCTATCGCCAACTACTCAGATCACGTTGCTTCCTTCACTCAAGAGAAACAGTACAGGGGCCATTATACTTTTTTGTCTTAGTATAAACACAGCACAGCAATTAACTAGAAGTCCTGGCCAACTCCCTCTCAAACATTTTTTTCTAATAAGTAATCTCAACAATTGTGAAGAGTACCATAGGCCTGGCCTGCTCAGTTTTCACCTGGAAAGATCCAACTCAGTATAGGAAAACATCTGTCTACAAGACAGTATTTCTACCTAAATGAGTTTGATTACAGAGTAAGAGCAGAACTAATTAATGACCAAGTGCTTTTCAAACACCTAATATGTATCAAAACATGCCCTGGTAGAGGTATTACATGCTTCCTCCTCTTCCAAGAAAAGTTTCTTAAAGATGAGCTGAAGGATGACATTCTGGTTTGGTTTTGCTGTTGCTGTGACAAAACATTCTGACCAAAGGCACTTTGGGGAGGAAAGGTTGGCAGCCAAGGCAGGAGCGTCAGAGGGAACCTGGACAGAAACCATGAAGAAGCTCTGCTAACTGGCTTGTTCCAGGCTTAGAGTCATCTGCATTTCTTCTATTGCCCAGGCACGCATTACCTAATGGATGGTACCATCAACAATAGACTGGGCCCTCCTACATCAACTGGCAATCAGGAACTCTCCACAGGGTTTGCCCACGGGCCGATCAGAAAATCTGAGGTTTCCTTTTCCAGGGTATGTCGAACTGACAACCAAGTACCCATCCCAGAGGGTATGGCATAAAAAATTGGCTGTTGACTCATAAGAGGGTTCCACCTCAGGGAAAGACTAAGGTTTCTGTACCACCATAGGTAATGGTGGTATAAATCATTGGCTGGGCACCCAGGACCAGCCAGACATTATAAAGATGGTCCCTGTCCATGGACAACATTTGTGTCAGAACTCAAGTCAACCTAAGAAAGTGATAGAAACACCAGTGTGTATTGAACACTGCTATTGCCATGAAAATGTTGGATGTGGCAGGAACACCACTCATTGGTGATTATGGAAGAATCATGAGAAAAAAGGATGGGCTAGAACTGGAGGTATATTTTGTGTAAAGTCCAGGCTTACAAGTCAGCTACTAGACTATATGGAAAAACTGTATAAAGACGGAGTGGTATAATTCACTGGGGGCCATCATTAAGCCTGTACTGGTTGCCAAAGCCCATGTCAACACTTTGAATGCATTTTTCTCTACAAGAATCAAGTGAAGGGAAAAGAAATTTCTTTGTGGTACATATAAGGACATGCGAGGCCACTTATCTACAGTGAATGGCTGGGCTGAGCTTTGGCCTGGCGACATCATCAGAGACTGGACTGCTCTATATGGTTTTCATTTTCAACGTTAGAACAGTTTAAAGGAAGAACATGGCACCGAAAAGAATACCTTGGTTAAGCTGATAAATAGTAATCATTTGGTACCAGTATTTGCATTTGTAGTTTTTCTGCTATAGAAGACTTGTTAGGTAAAAATGAGGCCACTGTTTGTTATCACTAAATCCCTTGATTATAAAATGTTTGATATAATCAACGGAGAATCAGTATCTGAAGTGTGAACTTTTGTTATCTATCAAATACGACCATTCATTCTTAGCTCCAAGGGTTTAGCCTTTTGTGATGAGCATTAAATCATGAAAGTGGCAGTTCTTTTATGTGGGCTAATCCACATTAAAACCTCCTTATTTTAGTCTCTGACTTATAGGTGCCAACAGCAGAGTATTACTGGATGAAGTGAAGACAGAACTTTAGCCCAGAAGAAAGCATCAAGGCTCAGACAATGGTGAGCTCACAGGCCAGTGCTGGGCATGAGGAGCAATGCATTTGAACTGAAGAAAATCCACCTCAGAGGTCCATAGTAAGTCCTTGCATTTTTATAACCATAAGAGGCAAATCACCAACACCTTAGGCTTCTCTGACTTATTCACACATGCTAGATTTACTGTCTCTCTTAATCTTGAGGAAAATATGATTACAAAAAAGTTAACCTTCTTGCTCTCGTTTTTGGTTTGACACCAGAAAAGGAAGGAAAAAAAATCAACAGAAAAGGCTAGCCCCAATTTCAAAATCAATAGCATAGGCTAGCCCCAACTTCAGCATCTTACCCAGCCATCAGGAGAATCCTTTTATCAGGCCTATCTAATCAACACCTTCAATCGATCAGGCATGTATGTATAGTCAGTGACAGAGCAGAAGAGCCAGAGCCAGGCTGCCTGTGCTATGACTGCCTCTCTGGGATTCCCCGCCCCTATCTGGGAAATGGCAGTAATGACAATGCCTAGTTCACTGAGCGCTATCAGAAATACAAGGTAAGGCCATGAGAGACGCTTGGCATTTGGAGACTATTTAATAACTGTGAGTTGTTGTTAGGTACTACTTGCTCTCCCCATACCACATGATCCAGGGGAGAAATCAGATGATGTAGAGACAGGAAAGCCCTTGCCCAGTGTCCATCAGCTACTGCTGGGACCAGGCTGTTTCCAGTGTCAGGTTTCTCCTTGGTGCAGTCCTGACATCTAAACTGATCCTTAAGAATTGAAATGATATGCCTTACTTCTCTACCTGAAAAGCTCGCATTGGCTCACTGGTCACCTTGCTGATGCCAAGGCGCTGGCTGCTGAACTCAGTGGCTAAAGATCAACTTAAGAAAAGATCCCTCTGGCTGACTTGATAAGTGGGTAGGCATGTACATGTACATTAAGGTTTCAGAAGTACTTGAGTCACTCTGTTAAAAGGAAAAAAAAAAAATCCCTGTGCAAGGTTCATTTAACCCTCACCAGATTTCTAAACTTATCCCAAATTCCTGCCAACTCCACCTACAGGAAGGATAAACACATAAAACTCAAGCACAGGACTCCGATTTATGTCACTGATGCTCACAGCCTCCCCCCATCTCCCCCTAAGGCACTACCAGGTACTGATAAGCACTTCTCTAGTGGATGCAGCCCAATCCTAAGAGGCCTGGTGCCCACTGACTGCCCTTCTAGTGTCCTAGTATTACCTCCTTAGTATTAACTTTGCCAACTTAGGAAGACAAAAGACAAGCACACTATCAAGATTTTAGTTCCAGAGTTAGAGCACAAAAAACAGAATTTTGTCTAAATCAAACCTGGAATGTAAGGAGTGTTTGGAGATGAGAACATTTTATTTCCTGACAAAAAAGAAATCTTTTTCATTTGTGATACAATAAAATCAATGAAGAAAGGGCTTCATTATAGTCAAAAGATCAATGACTCTCCTTTGGAGATAATCTTTGTATAAATAAAATATGCCAACAAGGTTGATTTAACCCCAAGGGTTTTAAACAGCCTGTATAAAACCTTTTATACACTGGCACCCAGCTGAAGCCACTGACCTTCAGGTTATTAAGCTGTATTTTAACTGCTGGAAAGGTGTGAATCATTTTTGGGTTCCTAGGGTACTGGTAGCCCCCACACTTTGTTAGGTTTTTTAACTTCTAGAGAAAGTATTTTAAGGACATTTGTTTTGACATGTTGTGCTCCTGTCTATCTCTTCCAGTGTGTCCTTTCAGCAGATTAATTTTAAGAACTAACTTCTAATTTAAAAAAAAAAAAAAAAAAAACTTTGTCTACAACAGAGGTCTAAAAGAATGATATACTACAGTAAATACAATTTTGAGCTAATATACACTGGTAATGCTTCATTAATAACTAATGAAAAATTTATTTCCATTTCTTGTTTCAAAAGAATAGCATCTGGCAAGGAGTACAGCACATTGGTAGAATATTTGTCTAGCAGATGCATGGTATCTCAGATACATACATGTATGCATGTATATACGTACCTATATACATACATACATATACACATCCAAAGAAATATATATACACGTGTATTCACATACATTCATATACACATACACATAATACATATGCAAGTATATTTACACATATATACACAGACACATACTCATTACACACATAAACACACATATATACATATATTCACATACATACATATAGATATACACATTCTATAGATATACACATATATACATACATATACACATAATACACACATACACACATATATACATATATAGATATGCACATGGAAACAAAAAGCCTCTCCGGATGTTTGATTATCTTGTTGCTTTTTTATTATCAACATTGTGTGGTGATGGGACGGAATCACCGGCCTTGAGGATTGTGGGTAAGCATTCTACCCACAAGCAACATGCCCCGCCGTTTGTCTTGCTGCGGAGTCAAGCGAGGGCTTGACTTGCTGTGTAGCACAGGGTAAACTTGAACCCATGAGCCTCTGCCTCTCTGATAGCCGGGCTTCCCGGTATGTTCTCCCATATCCAGTAGTTGGACTTTTAAAAATGCAGTAAGTATTGATATTAATAATAACCTGGGCCTATCAGGCTGTGGGGCTCAGACCTGAATCCCCACTATCTGGAAGGCCAAGGCATGAAGTTTGTAAGTTCAGGGTCAGTAAATCTTGTTTCAAAAACTTAACAGATCTGAGAGACAGAAATCTTGTCTCACTTTAATCATCTTACAAGATACAAAGCATATGTGTGACTGACGCCGGGCTGCCTCATTCGCTTTATACTCCCATAGTAACAAGGAACTGGTAATCATGGAACATTTGGTTTTGAAAACCCAATAGTGAAAAATATTTGGACTCAGCTCCTTTCCATTCTCCTGTAGCTTTCACACATAACTTGGCACCCCCAACGCTGGTCCCATGCACCACACACACGCACACACATGAGCAGTTGCCACAGTTCTAACTCCTGATGAGGAAACTAATGTCACTTTCATAGTGGTTGGAAGCCTCAACGTGCTTCTTTCGTGTGGAAAAGTACGTGAGTTCTAACTTAGCCAACACTGCCCATCTTCAGCATTTACACCTTTGGCAAGCTAGTGAGACAGGCGTGGATGGGACCCTGGGGGAGTGCCTTCACCCTTAAAAGACCTTTTAAAAGACTATCTTTCCCAAATTCCAAGACCCCAAATTCCTGCATGCCAGTTAGAATTAACAAAACTGGTACCTAGAAATTGTTTAAAACTTTCTATAAATTCCTGTCTTCAAAGGGTGAGAACAAAAAGGTTAGAGAACCACTCCTTAATCATTTGCATATTGAATACACTCTAAAAGTGGGGAGAGCTTACTGATTTTATTAATGCTTTAGGGTTTAAAAAATCAGTGCTAAGTAATTGTCACACTCAGGGGACTACATCAGAAGGTTTTTGAGTGCTCGTCCAGCCTGGGGTACAGAACAAGAATGAACCATCTCAACAAAAAGAAAAATATGCATTCAAAGCATTGCCTTTGGACCAAGTATCCAATGTGGTAATTAAATAGGTCACCAACAAGGCAGAAAACATTCAAAAGCAACTTCTAGTCTAAGAAACCCATGCAAAGGTAAAGTGAGGCAGCACTGCCTTTAGAGGACTCTAGGGAACAAAGTTCTAATATGCAAAGGGATAGCAGTGTGGTCCACAGCCTACACATGTAGTTCACATCAGGGAGACTGTTAACAGAGCACGGGAAGATGCTGTCTCTTTATGGAAGCTGGCTGGAATGATGCAGCGACATACTCTGGGCAGTACGGGAGGAATGTGGGTCTACACGGCGCTCCTGCGACAGCTAGGGGATGGATCATCCTGCTGCTGCAGACCGGGTGCAGGTCCTCCAGGAGGGAGAGAAGTAGTGGGAGGAACCCAGGGTATCACAGAACCTGTCCACACCTGCACTTAACCCTTTCGCTGCCTATCTAGCAGGAACACGTGAGGCTATTCTGTGATGCTTCTTGTCCCTTCAATAAATTTTAGTGAAATACATTGTAGTGGAAAAAAAAAGGGGGGGGGCTGCCTAGAATATAACCAATTCCAGCAACATCTAATAGCATAAATAGACACAGAAGGGGACAATGAAGTCCGAAAACACAACCACACCTAGTGATACCTCTGCAAACAAAATTGCTTTTTGACAGCCAGAGGATAGATGTAACCCTGAGCTTCGTATGATGGCTTCTGGAACTTGTGAATGTTTTTTGGACATTCATGTATTCACCTAATATCTCATAATTGCCCAATATGTGATAGGCACTATTGGAGCCCCTAAATACCTCCATTAGCCCTCATATAGCTCCCAGTCATGTTAAAATGACTGCAGACAAGTAAACTAGATTAGCTGGTAAGAGCCCTACAATAACGAAGCAGACTAGTAGAGCGGCAGGTATAAAGGGATAGCACTATTAAAAGTACTTTCTGCATATACAAAAAAAATGTCAGAAGGACGGATGCGTAAGAAATCTATGTATTCACACACACATAGAGAGAAAACTCAGCAGTACAAAGTTCATATCTGACAAAAGGAAAAAGATGCAAACACAAATGGTGGGTGAGATCTTTACATCACACATCCCACTTATGACAGCCAGCCCCCTTCCAAGCTTCCAAGTGTCTGCAGCATTTCCTTGCACTTACTACAGTGTGTCCTACCAATTCTTACTCACGCTGTAACTGTTCTAGGCTTGTGCTGCAGCAGACCGGTCTAGCAACCACCCCTAGACTTTCACTCAGCTATCCTTACCAAAGTGTCCAACCTTCCAAAAAACTGACAGCGTATGGAATCTTGGAGGAAAACTCACCTTTGAAAACATGCTCACAGATTGTGATTTAAAATTAGAACGACTGTCCACTTTGCTGCTGTCGGCTTCTCTCCTTATGGTGACACTGTCCTATATTAACCCGTAGGTATTTACTTTTTTTTTTTAACGAGGATTTTACTTTGTAGACATGCAAAGGGGCAAAGATTTTATTACATTAGCCTTAGTGAAGGATATCTTAGTCTGGGCAAGCTTCAAACAGCCATGAAAGTAATATTTTGTCACAGGCATCACATCAAACAGAGAACAAAAGGGAGAGCAAGCCACTGGGGGTGCAGTGGTGCCTGGCTTACCCGGGATGGGAATAATAGGAATATTTTCGTTGGGGACCACCCGAGGTGAGCTGCTGTCCTCCACATAGAAGTGCGCAGTCTGGAAACATTTCCTGTGTGTAAAAGACAAACATGCCACCAGTGAGCACACAAGTACACTTGGTCTAAGTTTATCATTTCAAAATCCTTCTTTAATAGCACCCCCCCCCCGCCCCACTTGAAACAGCATACAGCCCCAGTGTCAAACCCAAGGAAAAATAGTAAAATGCAAGCACAGCATTTTGCACATTGGAGGAACCCCAAATGGCTGAATAGCCATCTCCTATTACAGCCAGCTCCAACCCCAGAGCTCCAAACTACTCAGATTAAGTGAGAAGTTGGCACAGAGTAAACTCCTGCACAGGACATGAGGACTCTACCCAACATGTCTGCAGCTGACGGGTTACACGGGAACAGCCTGCATTCTGACTAACCCACACCTTGAATCCCCTCCAGCAGAGTCATCAGACAGCCAACTGTACAGCAGCACCACACTGCTTAGCCAAAGCCCCAAATCCTCAGACAGCTTTTAAAGGGGGCTTCAATAGGATAAGCATGCCCAAATCAGAGGCCCTTTCCAGACAGCATCTCATCCAGGGCAGATGCCTGCAGGTGTTTTCTGCTTGACTTCAGCTCAGCTCTCTTTTTACCTGTACTTCAAGCAAAGCAGGGAACACACACTGGTCATCACAGGACAGGCAGGGAACAGAAAGGCTATGAGCAGCCCAGGCAGCCTCTGCCTGAGCACTGGCCAGCCCTCAGCTTTCCAACATCCACGTCACTGCTTGCTGAGGCCTTAATGAGCTGCCGGAAGCACAAACTGAATATTTAATGAGACTGCTCGGTGTGAATGGCTATTGTGACCAGAGAAGGGTCCCTGTTCATCTGGCGGAGGGCCTTTACAATAGCTGGGCCTACTGCTGGGTCTTTTAGCCGGGCAGACGGCATCCTTCTAGTGCTCCCAGTCAGTAGGCTCAGTCCCGCTCCGCTTGCATTTCACGCCAAGCAGCATTTACACACCATGGCTTTGCACTTTCGGGGTCTGTATTCCAACTACTAGGGACACGTCAACTTTTCTTCAGGGTATCTTTGCTCATCTAATGAAAAAATAATTCTGGGGTGTGTTTAGGAAGGCAAAGAAAGTGGGTGATGGTGGAGAGGTAGGAGGGGGGGAGATCAATACTTCTAACAAACCAAATTAAAATCCCTGCAAGAATGAGGAGACCAAGCATCATGCGGCTTTCCCACAGTAGGGTGCTGTAGCCCTGCTATCACCAATGCCACTAAAAAAGAGCACTTGTCCCAGAAGGAAGACTTTTCCTTTAAATGGTCCGTGTTTTTACATGGAAAGGGGACTTTTCTAGAGCGAGCCTGCGTTGTTCTTCCAAGGTATAGGGGTTCCTGGACATAAATGACTCCAAGCCTACATCTACTACAGGATTAGCCTTAAAGAACACCGAGAGAAGGTGAGTGTTTTCTGCATTTGTAACGGAAGTAAAGAACCAAGGGTTTATTACTACACTCAAAGCCTTTACTTTGCTTGGGGTAAGATGCATGAACTGTGGGGCCCTGGCCCTAACCATGTGATGCCAAATCCATATGAAAAATACGACAATCATATTTGAAATGCCAACTTCTTTCTGGTTTTAAATTAGTTGTTAATTTTTACCTTTGGCTTTTTTTCCCCCTTCCCTTTTATCATCTGCTGTGTACACAGATTTCCAGGATTCAACACTGAGGCTGAAACATGTGCCATGGACACTACAAATGAATGGGAGCCTTGCTTATTCAGGGCCATAGCTCTTGGCATTCTGCTTTTGTTTAGTTTCTCAACAGCCTGAACAAGTTCTCGATGTTACTCAGAATAACGTCACACAGCACAGCAGCTCAGCTTCAAAACACAGCGACCAATGAACAACAGCAACAATGGAAATATAACTACCTAATAACTTCTGGGCTGGAAATAGTGGCAAATGAGTGATCCCATCACTCCAGAGGTCAGAGGTGGAGGTAAAAGGATTGTAAGTTCAAGACCAGCTTAAGCTAGCAGTATGAGACAAGTCTCAAAAAAAAAAAAAAAGTTTGTATTTTAAGGCTGCAAATGACTATGCCTGTCTATTATTTCTAAAAGAGAAAGCAGTTAGCTCATGGGATTACATTCCTGGCAAAGTTACTGTTAAAGCCAGACAGCTTAGAAAGGAACAAACCACGGTGCGAATTACTGTTTCCTAGAGATCAGGCAGTCCAGCCAGTCCTTCTGCTATGTGGAGAACAGCAGCCTATTATCTTTGGGGGAAAAAAAGCTGTGGGTACTGAAGCAAACCTCGCTCCCGGGCCCCAGGTGTTGCTGCTTCTAATGGACTGTCCCTGGAGCAGAGTAACTCTGTGATTGCCAATGCAAAGCTGGCAACAGGGCTGGGGTCAGGAACCTGGGAGAGAAAGCTATGCACATCTGTGCCTTGCTGCGTGTCACATGCTTTTATCCTGCGCGGTGACATGGGTGAACAAGTCACTGCAGAACCTGGGGAAACTTCTCCCTTTGAATGAAAGTTTTTCAGGCCCGTGGCAGATGTTAACTCAGGTCATGTCACAGCATCACATGTCTCTCCCACTGTTCATCATCCTCAAAACCAGTTCCTTGAGCCTAGCTAAACACTGGAGTAATTTAGAAAGAACTACACAAGGAACTAATGATCCTTTTGGAGAGATGCTTGAACACAAAGCAACAAATGGAAAAATCAATTAAAATCACCTTAAGCCCTCCTCCTTCCTCTAACCACTATTAACATTTTGGGGGATTATCCTTCCCTATTTTTGTTCATTTGCTTATTTAAAATTCCTTCATTTTCAGTGATGTTGAGAGCAGGAAAAACAAGACAGACAAGGACTCTGTCTTCATGGCACTTAAGTTTTCATAAGAAAGAGAGAACCACAAATATGTCAACAGTTACGGGAAAATACAGCTCAAAGGGTCGTAATTAACTGATAAAGGTGAAGGGAAGTTGTGCCATTTGAGCTGAGACCTGAAAGTGAAGGACAGCTACAGCGGTAGTGGAAGGCCATTCTAGGCAGAACTAGCACTGTATAAACTATCTTAGAACAGAGCAAACCTGGCATCTGTTGAAACTAAATAGAGGAGCCCATACGGCTGGATCTGGATAGAAGGGTAAGAACCCCAGCACAGAAGACCCAGGAGGCCTTTGTTGGCTTCTGTTACAGTCTAAGAGCCAGGCAGGGCCAGTGAGGACACCAGCCTATGCTGTGACACACTCTTAGCTATCTGTTTGAACAAGCTCACTTGGGCTGCTGTGTGAGAGATGGTCCATAGGGCATCAAGGAGGTAACGAGAACATCAACCAAGGACTATGCTGTAATCATTCCAAAACTCAGGTGTGTGTTTGTGCATAAAACATGTGGTAGTACTGGGAGCTGAGCCTACAGCTTCACACATGATAAATGCTCTACCACTGGGCTACCTCTCCAGCCACACTTTATATATCAATAACAAACTACAGTCCTCCCATGGACATACATCCCTTCTAACAAACCCAGATGACATCCTCATTTCTAGTGTTTGCCTAACCTTCCCCCTCATTGTTAGAGTCACTGCTTTAACGACCACTTACTAAGAGTCTATCCTGGGGCCAGGGTCCTAGCACTGTTTCATTGCACTCTCCAAATGTGACGATCGTTTTGTGTGTGTGTGTGTGTGTGTGTGTGTGTGTGTGTGTGTACACAAATCCTATACTTTGGTTTTACCTTTCCAATAAGGCAGATGGATATTGTATGGCATTGTATTTTAATTTGTTCATTTCTGAAAAGTCCCGTGAAAAAGGTTTCTTTCTTGATGTTTAGCAAGATACGGGGGGGGGGGGGGGGGGAAGAAGGCAGGGATTTTGGAGAAAAAGAAAAATACCCACAAGTTCCAATTCTTCTAAACTTCTCCCTTGGCTTTGTTCAAAGAAGCAGGGTTGGCCCTGAATTTGAGCCCAGGGGAATAGAGACAGAATTTCTCAAAGTGTTCTTAAGTATGTCACTGAGTATGCAATTTCAATTTTCTTTGTAGTTTCAATTCGCTTTCAACCAACACAGCCTAACAATCCCTCTTGAATGAGCAGATTTCTAGGATGGTGAAAAGCCATTTCCAAAATTGCTTTACCATGAATGTATTTGTGCAAGTAGTGTTATAGAAATGGAAAACAAAGTAGATCATGTTTAGAATAAAGAAGAAATGTATTTATAAGTTTGGTTACAAATTACAGCCTAGTTCATCACCACCATACATTTTATGCTTTTTCATCTCCCACCCCACCGGATGCTCACCTCTCCCTTTAAGGAGCCTGGGCCAGGCAACAGTATTTTCACCAAAATGACATCATTGGTGTATTGATAATCCAAATTAATTATCTTCTGTCTTCCCTAATCTACACTAGCAGTATTTATTTTTCTGATACTTAAGAGTGTCTAAATTTGGAGATTCCTTGGAGTTTGGAGGGTCCCTGGAGATAGACTATCGTTTCTCTGTGTACCTGCCTGTTGTACCATCCTTACAGCAGCCTATGAGTCAACAGTGGTTATTAACACAAGTCCAGACCTCTTTGGTTTAAGGAGGCCATGCAGGACAAAGCCCAGACCTGGTGGCAACCACCTGAGAGGGCCTAATTGGGACCCAGCCCCATGGGTTGTGGAGTCCCTCCCTGAGAAGCTGGTGTGTGCTGCTCCTGGTAACAGCTTTTGTGGCAAGGGGACAAGTGGTTCCAGAGATTTTCTGGTGCTGTCACTAAGAAGCCACTGAAAATGAAAACAACAACAAAATTTAAATGGAAGGTGGGCAGTATCATAAAAGAGCCCATAAAAGTTATATGACAATTTACAGGAGCCCATATGCATGAGAAAAGTCACTGTGACTTCAAGGGTGTTAACACACGGTATTAAGGGCACAGAGAGATTTTGTGCAGCACATACTTGCTTAGGAATGTCAAAGTTCTCAGTCCCACTTCGGTTAGAACCTATATGCCAGAAATAGGGTGGCAGCTGGCTGAGGGAGGCGGTGCACTTATGTAATCCCATTACT